ATTCAAGAAACCACACCAATTATTTCTGGATCTAATCTCACCAATTTAGCCTCGTTTTCTTTTCTCGAGTCAAAAACAATCAAATGCATAATTATTATTCTCAATCTAGCCTCGTTTTGATATTTCGAGTCCAAAATATAATATCAAACCCATATTGCACACCAGGTAACTGTATCTTATAATTTAATACAAAAACAGTGTCGATTTTGTGTGTTTTCATAATTCAATGTGTTCTGTTTTTTAGAATTGTTGGTGTATTTTCTTTAATTTTATATGTTTTCATTAGCGCCTCGTCCAATATAGTCTTAACAACTGTATACTCGTCCAATAAAATTCAGTATCGTACTCAACAATGCATAATAACCTCATAGTGCAATACAGGTTTTGTGTATTACATGTTTATGGTCTAATGTAATTTTAAAAAATCCAAAAAAAATCTTATTTCATAGTGACCTCTTTCCAAAAAAGTGAGGAATATCTCTACTAATGTGTTCATTTGAAAATATTTAAAACGTTTTTTTCTAAAAAGATATTAATCAGGAATAGTGATGCTTTTAAAAATTAATAACAATAACAATAACTAACTTTAATAATAATAATAATAATAATAATAATTATAATTATAATAATAAAAATAATTTTAATAATAATAATAATAAGAGGAAGAAGAAGAAGAAGAACAACAACAACAACAATAATAATAATATTATTACCTTAATAGAATGATAATGTTGGTCCTTTTTGACAACAAGAAGTTTAATCCGGTTTTTTCCCCATTCCGACGAAACGAAGTCCAATTTCGCGCTTGTATTCATGACCATTATTTTATATATTACTTCAAATATACCAACAAAGTCTTCAAAAACAAGCAGGAAAAAAAGATTCAACTCTTAGTGTCAAAGAAATTGTGTTCTTGTTTTTTGTCTTACAGGTCATTAGCCGCGATATAGTTTACGGTCTATGCACGCGATATTTAAATTTTTAGATTTATTTTCGGCAGTATCCGTAACATATAATGACAGATACTGGTATATTAAAATTTTCCCAACTGAATATCTTAAATGAACGTGTCCATCTTTAAATCCGGACAAGATCATGTATTGCATTTTTGAGAAAAATTCAAAATATTAACTATTGCACATGACATCTTGGGCTGTACTGGTCGCATGTGTATATTCTGTAGGGCTTGCTTCGTCAATGCGCTGCAAAGTGTACCCTAACTCAGTCATCTTTTTAAAATCGAGATTTGTACTTTTTTCTACAGGACGTGACAAAATAGATTTTACGGCGTGAAATGAACATCACTTTGCCATCTTATTTGGAGGGGATGTTTTGTATAAAACGACCACTCAGTCGCACGATTCCTAATGTACACAGGCGTTTTAAAGCTTTAAAAACTGAGGCGAGAAAAATAGCGAAACGCATTACTTGACAGTTGTACTCCGAACCTGCTATCACTGTCTCAAATCCACCGTGTTTCCATGGACCTTTCCGGTTTTTTCGTAGTGGAACATTTAGCCACACCTTTTCCATTCATTGCTAGGTCAACTGCTCACAAACAGTATCACAAACAAAGCCATGTGTTCTTTTGTGCAAACCAGGTCAACCAGTGACTATGTACTATCTCAGTGTAGCAAAAGGATAACAAGTTAGCCTGTAAACACTGGAAAGGTCTATTGTGTATCTGATTGTCCGTTAATGCCGTCTTGATTAATCGTATATTCTACATGCATGAGATAAGTAATTACTGGTTAGTTAACCAGGAAAGCCTGTTAAGATGGATCGACAGCCGAAGTATGACCAAAAATGTGAAAATATCAGTAAAGCAAACAAACAACCGCAGCTGAATACTCGAGTGAGCGTTTTATTAACGAGTTAATAAAATTAAACTTTACTTATCTGCCCAAGCATTTTGAATATTCAAAATTAGTTGGGTTTTTTTTCGGGAAAATATACAGTCTATATGAACATCTAAATGCCTTATGCCAGGGTGATTCTTAATAGTTCATACCAAGTTTATATGTACTAGATATACAAATACTTTAAAAATAATGTAAAAATATTATGTCAGGTGTTGCGAATGTCCCCAGTATGAAATAACAGCAATTTTGTCTCTCCAACTTGCTTAACTGCGCGGCACCAAAACAACTTTAAATCTGTACATACGGGTGTAAACTTATTGTTAACTTGACATCCACACCTGACGAGTACGAGTGTCTGCAAGCAATACGTGCCACCTAACCAAAATGCCAGTGCACACCGTAAAACAAAACAATTACCTGTATAGTCTATAAAATGTGCACATTTAACTTCAGGAATTTCGTCAATTCAGCTTTTCTTCGTAAGTTTACGATTTCAACTTTCTTATGCCAAGAACATGATAGATCTTCTAAGAAACGTTTAATATAAAAGGGCTGTATGATAATTTTGTAGCTATAGACAACCTTTCTTAGAAACATAAGCAAGTAATACAGTTTTAAAATTTATAAATATACAAACAATAGTTTATTTGTGATACAGTACAAAAACAAATTATAAATGCATCAAATATTTTACAAATATTATGATATTATTATACATTATTGATTACAATATTGAATTCTATCGGATGAGTACACAGCTAAAACCTTTATTGGACGAGACACTAGCCGAGTCTGATGATAGGTGTTTACTCATCCAGAAGGATCAGTATTGTTCTTAACTATGTAATTTCTTGGCGTCATGGCTTTTCTTATACCGCTAGTTACTGTTACTGTTACAACAACTCGCATTCACAATCAAATTTTGCGAAAATGACACTAAGGCTTAGCTCAAAGCCATAGCATTATCCCACCATTTTATATTTTTTTTAATAATATCAGCTGTGAACTTGGAACAGTTCATTCAAAGTCTGAGAGATTGGTATTAGATATTTAATGTTTTTGTACAAATGAGCTACTGAGTGAGCTATTAGTCACTCTGTATGGATGTGATCTGGCTCTGTACTGGTGGCCTCTTTTAGCGTCATTAGTCCTGTTAGTTTTGTAATGCCTAGCATAAGCTCTTACGGTAGAAACATATGTTTTCCCATACAAGGTAACATATATAATATGAAACCCCAAGAGTAGGGTAAATCTTTACTCCATAACTTATAATTAATTTAACTTTAGCAGAGGACAAAAAGGTTATGCTTTTACAAGTTTTGGGCATTATAGTTTCTAAGTAAAATATCTTTTGAATTCAAGTTACTTCCTTATATAAGAGGAAAAATAAATTAAATAAATAATCCATTTTCACAGAAGTTCACCAAGCAAATTGCTACAGCCAAATATTTCTTTTGGTTGGGTTTCACATCACGACAACACAATAAAGGACATATTGAAAGTTTCAAGCTTTACTGGTGCATTATTTCAGGCATAAAATATGCAGACACTTCTTCTCTTGATTGTTTTCTATGATTTTTATCATTCAATTTATATTGTATTTGCGGAGAAAGTTTATTGTTCTGATTTTCTAACAGGATCAGACGTGGACAACATGTTTGTAAATAATAATTTCTTTCGGGAAACAATTGTCAAATTGTATTAAGTTACAATATGCAACCAAAATGTTGAAAGTTTGTCAAGATCTAATAATCATATATTTCTTATTAATTTACGAAGAAAATACATTGACTAAGTCGCAAATAACTTGATTATATTCGCCGACAAAAGGCGTTAAACCTGTGTAAAAATTCTATACCATATATGAAAAATATCACATTTTCCGGCGTTACCGCGAAGCACAATTTACGTACATCAGCGTTACCTCATAAAAACGACTTGAATCTCATTTTATCAGTTTATTTTCAATTTTCTATATCTCAAGAAGTAAGGTTTATGTCACCTGCCTACCGAAAATCGAAATTTTACTGAATAATATGCATTGTTGTACTTATAAGAGCCGACAAAAGCCAAAATCTCGCTCAAAACGGTGGTGAAGCCATCATTTTCACGAATGATCTTGAAAAGTAAACAATTTCGTGGAAATTATCTTGGTAAGGAATAAATAGTAATGTCTTCGCAGCCGTAAATGCGGCTGTTCATTTTTTCAGTTCGGTTCAATAAAACACATATTGGTCAGTTTACTTACCGCGTTGGAAATCCTGTCAGGTACCCGCCATTTATTGCACAATGCTGCGTTATTTATTGCACGAATCGTACGTTATTTTCACATTCCGGCGTTACTGGATATACACGGTTGTAAAGTTAAGCTCCGAACAAGCCCTTTCAAATAAATCTAATGAAGGGGAATAACTCTAAAAGAAGGCAAGATAAAGTTATTGTTCTTGCACAATGTACTTTCTACCAATGTGCTACGAGTAAGTCATTGTATGAAGTTTGAGGAAAATCCCTCAAGTACGTTGGAGGTGAGCTTCGATAGTTTTTGTTTGTTTGTTTCATTTTACGCCTTTTCCCCAACAGTATTTCAGTCATATAGGCGGGTAGTTAACTAACCATCGTTCCTGGAGAGTAACACCAGTACTAGACTACCTTCCTCCACGCTAAACTACCAAAGCATCTCCCGGGATCGAACCCACGCCAGAGAGGTAACTGGATTAGGAGTCATCGACTCAAATCCCTCGACCATCGAGGCGGTTAGCTTCGGAAGTAAATCTGATGAAAGGGAATAACTCTAAAAGAAGGCAAGGTAGAGTTACTTACACATTACACTCACTCCCAATGTGCTCTGTATATAAAGTGTGTTAAGTTTGCAGAAAAACTATTTAAAGTAAATCTGATATAGGGGAATAACTCTAAAAAGGCAAGGTAGAGTTATTATTCTTGCACTTCCTCACAATGTGCCTTGTCAGTGTTTAAACTTTGAAGAAAATTGCTAAAGTACATTTGGAGTTATGCTCCCGAAAAATGGGGACAAGCACACAGATGCACAGACCCAGCTCGCCAAATTACAACCATAATCCGAACTTATCATACAGCTCTGGTGTAATATGTTAGTTGTACAAATAAATTGATAAACATTTTGACATTTTCACAAAGTTTTTTATCTTTTATTGTTGCATGTATATGACGCATACCATGCATGTATTTCATGTAAACAGAATAATTAACAATGTTCAGGACATAAAGCACATGTAAAAGAAATAATTACACAAAGGGCAACAACTTTCTTTTCCCTTGCCATATTCTAAATAGTACATGTATAATTCTAACAAAAACAAATGAATAGTAAAACTGTTATTAAACCTCTAATCAACAGCTAATTTAAAAAAAAAACAGTAACATATTAGTATTATAATTATTTTCATTCTTTTCATCATATATGATACAGACAAAAGAGTCCCTTATGACCATCTGACTTTTGAAAACTTGCTGGATAGCATTCTTAGAGTCTAAAACCTCAACATAAATCATGGCAAAGTGGGATTTAAACCCACAAGAGAGCACATTTATATAACATGAAGTCAGTGACCTCAATCATTTGGCTTTAAAGATCTCCATAATATGCTCACATAAAATCTCAATCAAAATTTGACTTATATTACATCTAAAATGTCAGCACTTTAGGAGTAAATATTAATAAAACAATGTTACGAGAAAGCATTGTGTATACTATATCTTATAATATTTTATATATTTTATTAACTAGTACTAACAACATGTTTTAAAGTTGAAATAGATAGAGGCTTTAAAACTTATACAAAAACATGTAAGATCAGATCTAATGTCACTTTAACAAAATGAACAAACAATAACAATTTATTTACAACAATTTATGATCACCTAAAATCATTAGAGACTACATTTCTTTTCCAGAAATATATTAACTAAATGCCTATAAAAACTGGTGTACTTTGTAGTTAAAAAAGTACACAATAAGTATCTTGTGTAGAAAACAAATATGAGAATACTGTATAGAAAAAAAGAAATATTCTGAATTTACTATACTGAAAAAAACAGAATTATTTAATAACAAGTTTAAGAAATATACAATATATGTACACTTAAAAGAAAACAAAAAAACAACAGAACCAGTATACTCTGTGTACACACAAAACACTGCAGATTGCTCAATAATTAAAAAAACAATCTATTAATACTCGTACATCAAAACAAAATAAAAATATAATTAAAGCGAGTCTGTAATGTTCCCATGGCAATTTTTTTACTGTTTTAAAGACATGTAACTCCATGTAGCTCATACTACTTTGTGAGTAGTTTAACAAACAGTTAGAATTCCCTTCTTTTTTTACTTGTCTATTGGGTAACACATATTTGTTTACAGAACCCACTATTATATAAAGAAAGAAAAATGTGGAGAATGGGGGTTATATAATCGTTTATATGCTTATTAGATAATTAAATCAATTCAATAGTTTCAAGCAAAATTTTCACATCATTTTCTTTTACACCTTAAAATATAATTCAAGTACAATCTAAGCTATTTATTATCAGCATACATTTTTACATAATAATTACCAATAACATATTTTGTTGTTTTTTATTAATATTTTCAATATTCATGTCAAGTCCTTGAAATTATACCCAAAGTTAATAAGACTTTAAAATGAAATCTACATTGTTGCGCATGTTATTATGTTAAAAATAGCACTCATTTATATATATACTTGGGAATTGTAAACATCTTCATCTTTAAAAATGTTTGATTTTTATTGGTTTTCTCTTTGCTCAGGTAAGTTTGTCTTAGTGAAAACAAATATTATGGTAAACAATACTAGTAGCAAATGTATCTGTAAAAATATTCTTTAAGTATTTATGCTTTTGATTTTTCTTGGAAGATTTGATATACTGTATCCTTGTATATTAGGATAACTGGTCTAAAAAGAACAGACTATATATATCTTTTTTTGGGGGGGTTTTACATCTCATTGACACAATATAGGTCATATCGCGACGTTCCAGCTTTACTGGTGGAGGAAGACCTCAAGTGCCCTTCCGTGCATTATTTCAGGCACAACAGACTATATACTGAACATTTACATGTACATGTATATACAGAAAGCTTGCTTAGCAACAAATACAGCATGACAACGTTCTGCATATAAAATCTACACCTTTAATTTAAAACATCAAGTGTTTAGCTTTAAACATAAAAATTGTCAAACATTATTAAATTCTTCAAAGCACTTGTCAAAAATCAGTGATATTTTGGTTTTAAAACTTATTTAGATCAACTTTATGTTTGATCAGATACACATTATATTATGCAAACAATAATTTTACCAGATTAGTAAAGCTTAATCTTGAATCTTTCAACAACAGTTTTTCAGATTACAATTCAAAACTGATGTATCACCATAAAGATTTTTTTTTGCCAAGAGAGAGATAAATTAGCGCTTTAATACGGTGATACTGTTGCAATGAATGCAATTTATATATTGTAATTTAGTCTGTAAATATTAAAGAAGAAATAAATATTGTTTAAACCAACAAAAATTCCTTCCCTTAACATCTAAATGAAATGAATTCATTACAATATTAAGTATCTGATACAACATCAACATCTTTTTCTTTGGGCACACTGTTAAATAATATGCCAATTTTCCTTTGGAAGTAGAAAAATATCCTAAGATAGCATCAGTAAAGTGTCTCTTCACAAATCAACAAACAGGCATCAGGCTAGAAACAACTAAAATCTAGTTTCACAGTGTCCTTTTTTGCCTAATATGTTTCAAAGTAATCAAGTCTTAATTGATTAAAGTCAACAGTAAGGCGTGTTAAGTTTCCTAGTTCAAGACCTTAAACACTTGGCAACAGAGGTCTTTTCAAATAATATTTTAATATTATGTTCTATCTAGTAATTACTAACATTTTACCAAAGTCATAGATAGACATATATGAAGTATGTTAGGCTGTTGTTTATATAAACATGTCAAAAAATATTGACATTAAAAAAGTCAAGGAAAACACCCATGAATTAAAATTTAATAGATGCTATTCTCTATGCAGCTCTATGTGCAAGAAATGAAGATGTGAATTTTTATGTTATTCAGGAGGTATTATTTTGGAATATTATTCACTGTGTAGATCATTAACAAAGTCCTGATCTTTTGATTGGAAGGAGGGCCATCTACATACAGGACAAAAGTGATTCTCTCTTAGTAACCAAGTTAAGATACATTTATCGTGAAATACATGGCGACATGGCAAACCTCGTAAAAGTGTATGACTTGAAAAGTGATCGAGACAAATCACACATTGCGTTCCTTCTAGATAACCAGGAGGTTTAAACTGGCATCTGTTCAAATTTTCAATTTTCTTGATTTTTGACTTTATTTTCGGAGAACCATCCCACGGCAAATCAAATGTACCGCCTAAACTGGGAGCTTCAAGATTGGCACTTGATGTTTGTGAAGGGACATAACTTTGATTATCATTTCTTATTGGATTTCTCTGCGATCTTCCACACTGGCATCCATAATATTTATCAGATTCAAGAAACTGAGCATCTTGTAAGAAGGGTTCTTCTTTGTCGTCATCAAAGTTATCTACATGCTCACTATCATGCGTGATATATCCATCTTTACTGGCCATACACTCACACCTACTATCAAAGTCCCGATACACCCATACTGGTAGTAATTTTATATACTCGTTAGAATTAACTGTCTGACAAGCCTCAAAATCATCCGTTATACTTGGCCCACCAAAAGAAGGGTTAAAGATCTGATCAAAAGGTCTTAACCGCATCATTTCCCAGCCGTTATGATAGTTTAAAGTACGCAAGTTTGAGAAATTCCACCAGTCGCCTTCATCTTCGTCATCATCATCCGCGCTAGTGAAATATCTCAATTTAACAAACAAAACGCTTAAACTCATAGTCATAAGGACCATAAAAGGACTAATCTTATGAGTAGAATAATATAGAATATCCTTGCGTACATCGGAAAAGAATGATGTTAAAGTACAATATCTCAAAAGCTTTAAAGCAAAGAGAGATAATCTTGAACAGAAAGGTATTTGTAGAAGTGCCAAAACACATATCCAAACCAAAAACAAGATTAGATTGTACTTGAATACACATATGATTAATTTTATAAATCTTCTGACCCATCCACCACTAGCTAAAGTTAATTCAAAGAAGCTGGCAATATTTGTGCAAATAAAACTTATTATAAAGATATCATTGATACTAGGATATACAGATTTTAAAAACATCTCCATTGCTCGAAAGGTCATAACCTCTGCCCTTTTTTGACCATAAATGTATTTCCTGTCCTGAGTTAACACAACATACGATGGCGAGTTCTTAACATCAAGCTTGGAAGCCAATACTTTCCCTTTTGCAGAGTTCATTTTGACACTACCTATTTTAACACGACCTGGAAATTTTACACTTAGTGCCGAAAGAAATAATGGGACGCTCGATAAAGTCGAAACAAATACTACCCGGACGTCTGGATTTAGTGAGGATTCGAAAGTAAGCCATTCATCGTGAAGTTTCTGAGGATCCTCGATGACAGAAGTCTGTTCATTAACTTTAGTCTTGATCCAATCAAACAGTGAATTAGTTCTGACAGGTCCTGGGTAGGTGTACAGAGCTACATTAGCTTTACTTCTGTAGTTTTCTGGAAGGGCAAGGACAAGTCTGGACGTAAACCAACCTTTCCTGGTACACAGCCTGCAGAATAAAAACAATATTTCAAAAACTATATACATGTATTCACAAAAACACATAAAGTAAACACTACAAACATTATACCTACAGCTTTTGTGGTCAATTCGTACACAAACCAGTGTTAAATAAGCTAATAAACACCACTGACTGATACTATTTCTTAAACAAAATACATATACATTTTCTTAAAGGTTCTTACATAGTGAAACCAAAGATGAATAACGGGTATACCACACAGTGTCATATTATACCATAAACAGATTGAGCTTTAGTATTTTGTTAGTAACCATAGAGTTTGTTCAAAGCTTTAAGCCATATACTAGCCTTATAGCAAATATATATCATACATGCATATCTACTAGCCTTATGGCATATATATATCAACCTTGTAATTCAAAATTTGAACACAGATTTCAACAAAACGTTTTTATTTGTTATATCAATACCTTGTATGTCTTTGACAGTCAAATCTTCCGAGTCGAACCCCAAACTTTCCAATTTTATTACGAATCAGGTGCCAGCTTGTGTCTGACAAGATAGGACCGTTGTCAGTTATTATTTCTACAAGCCACATACTGTCCTTGGCATCTTCAACCTGCAAAATAAATGTATCACAGTAATGTCTCCCATTAATTGATATGGAATAAACAATTCTGCACAATTCAAAATACTATGTCAAAAGAGCACAAAGGAGGTTCTCAATTAAGCAATTTCACGACCCAAAATTTCCCAAACTGCCAGTTACTGGGAATGTTACTTTTTCCTTAAATGACTAGGAAATGGTCTGTCTCGGCTAAATAAGATAAAGGATCTTAGTGAAATAACTTGCAAAAGCAGTGTAACCTCTGCTGAGCAACCCTATGTAAAACAATGGCCTTTATACAATAATAAAATCAATTCTTCAATGTTACAATAAATGTCATCTCTTTATAGCAATAATTCCCAAGCTATTTAACTGAAGTTATTCCAGCCAGTGAGGCAGTGACTATTATTCACTTTGTGTCTTACCTGTTATAACAAGCTTATATAACAGATAATAATGAGATATATAATTCCAATACCAACATTGAAAAAGTTCTATGGCCACTTTCAAACTTTACTGGCAGTGGAAGACCTTAGGCACATATGGGCACCCAAGCAGAACTACAGACATCCCATAAGCTAGCTGGATAACTTCCACACATGGAAGAATCTAAAGTCTCTTACAGGTTAAATGTATACAATTTATACAAGGTGCTCATTCAACAATGCATTTGTCAGGTTCTTTTTTGAATATACATGTAGATATCATATGGTCAATGCTATTCTTTAAATCTATCCACAATCAGGACATGTTTCTGTCAGCTGTTCACTTTGGACTTAATTCGCAGAAATAATTACAAAACCTCTTTAGAACAGTATTTAATATAGGTTAAAACATAACTAAAATATTAAGAAATCATACATGTACAAAAAGACTGATTTTAAATTCATCAATTAACAACAATATCGTACCTGTTCATAGAAGTCAATATCGCTGGTATAGTTTGTAATCTGCATGTCGTCATCAACATTAACAGTGGTGGACTCAAGTTCTTCATCAGTTACTGCCCCTGATCATGTACAGAACAACAGGTTTAAATAATGTTATGTGTAAAAGTAACAAGTATCCTATGAACATGATGAATACTTGAAAATGTTTGATCTGTTTACAAATTTCAAACTGCAGGAAAGATTTGCTTAGAACACAGGATTAGCAACTTTGTATTAACCCATAACCTGTTGGAACCAAAAGTGATCAGCCTTTGCCACCAGTTTACAGTCAGGCCAACCAGGCTCTATACCATTGGTAGCTCTTTTTGGTGTATTTTTATTTCAAAATTCGTTAATTCAAATAGACTGTTCCAGAATCAAAGCAGAGCAAATCCATTTAGCAAGTTCAGCGACTTAAGTGTTAATATACCTAAAAAGCAACAATGAGTGAATTATCACAAAAATATGACTTACACATCACCAAACAACATGATGATGTATACATAGCTGTTATACATTTTGTTTTACTGAAAGGTTGAAAATTTTGATTATTAAAAATTTAGCTGTTAATATTTTGAAATTTTATCTCACAAGCTGCATCATTATGTAAGTGTTTTAAAAACTGACTTTTATTGTATAAAGGTAAGTTTCATGATATCTGGATAAGAGTTTTCATTTCATACAGGTATCAAATGATATATATATATATATATATATATCTATATTCATAGCTTCATGTATACCATTTTTTAGTTAGCCATTTTTATCATGTCTTAGATATTGTTTACAATTTTTTATTTTTTTTCATTATATTATATAAACATTCTTATATAGGTCTATTACTAAAAATGAACAATTCATGCCATGATGCTACCATGTGAATATCTGGATATTATACCTGTTGCATCCACTAGCTCTGTCAATTCTGTTTTCTCTACCATATTATCATAACTCACTCCTCTCTGTTCCAGAAGAGCCTTCAATTTCAGCACTGATAAAGTCATAGGGTCAAGAAGTCTACGAGAAATTTGCCCTTGCTCATAACATGCCACAGCCTCCAGAATTCGTGCAAGAGTAAACAGGACAGCCAAGTAAATCAACAGCAGTGTTACCTGTGAATGAATATATGGCACAAGATAATTAGATATACATGTAGGAATTCACACAGTTCTATTCCAAGCAGGACAAAACATTGAATTCCAGTTATCATGCAACAAATGTCCAATATTAAATGTCCATTTTAACTTAATTTCAATACACATTTTTTTTTTCAAACGTGTCTGCTATGCTACTGTCAAAATGTAAAAGAATAAAGTTTTCATTGCCTAATTCATTATATGAATCTTACACTGGCTGCCGGTACAGACCAGAATATCTAGCTCGAGGGTTACTATTTACGGCAGTATAATGAGGCTCTGCTGAGTGCCCCCTAAACAGTTACCTGAGAACTAGATACTCCCGTCTGCACTGACAGTAGGTGTTTGATTCTTTTTCTTGCAATTTTATTACATATCAATTATTTTCAGAACAGAAACTATGAAAACTAATATTCTCATTACACACTTTTTTCTTATAGTAGCGTATGAACTTAAACTTCATTCATAACGGTAAAATGACCTCACCCTTAGAACACTATTCATTCATAAAAGGCACATGGCAATGATGTCATTTAAAGCATGCGAATTGTCTTACATTGGGGTGTAAGACAGGGTTTTCTAGCACCGCCATTAACGGTAGATAATCCTGTCTGATACACAAGAATACATGTGTCGTAATGGTGGCAATATGTATACAGAAAAAATAATGTGATAAAAATGTGAGGGCAAAATACGCTACAGCATGTTATATACCTTATAAACATGTATATAATATAGAGTAGACGCGTGCTTGTTAGTATTTTGGTTTTTGATGATCAAGGGGAGATTATTTTATGATAATTTGACTTATTGGCAAGACAAATTTATGTTTTGCGCCGGTGGATGCAACTGACTGGTGCATAACTAGCAGACTTAATTTGATTATGGATATCAAACTGTGCACTGACTGAATATGTTCAAAACAGCCATAATTCTGGGGGGAAAATCCATGTAAGTGTTTTTTGGTCCTTAGATGGTGACCCCATTAATGATTAATACTAAAGTGTGTGATGTTTCTACCAAGTCCCTTCACTAGTTTTGGGGACACCAACTTGCACGCAGTTGCGCTTAACCCAAGTGTGGCACCGGCGTCTGGCCGAGTACAATTGCTCTCCCTAGTCTTATAATAGTCGAGCTAAAAGGGTTACCTTTAACCACACTGCCATATTTGTATAATTGAACTTCACTTTTTGTTTATATTTTTCCCTGACGTGTCATCCCGCCAAATGTCAAACAATTTTTATCAATTAACGCTTTTTTAGTCGGTGTCAGTGGTTGTATAAATTTCATTTAATTTAATCTAGTAATGCATGTTGAGATAGTCAAGATAATTAAGCTGTATAACAAAACTTGAGCCAAATTAAAGGATGTTGATAATTCCTTGTGGTTTCGCGAAATGACCTAAAAAAGAATGTATCACGTGACTTGTCAAAAAGACAAACCCAAATATATAAATCTACCAGAAAGAAATAAAATAAAAAAAACGTCTGCTAATTACTTTTCGGTTATTAAGGCTATTTTAAAAACCAAAAGCATTTAATCTTAAATATTTTGCAGCCCCGGTGGGTCATTAAAACTATATGGCCGATCATACATGAATAATGTAATAGATAAATAATTGATAAACACTTTCCTTTAATCAAAAGTAACCATTAAATCATGGTCAATGAGATGACCCTCAGATTTAACATCTAGTTTTGTAGTTTAAGGAGGAGATTGTGATGATCGACTTTATTAAATTCCTTAAAGAATATGATAAACAAGATCAACACGGAAAGGCGGCGTTCAACGAACGCAACCCCCACCCGACCCAGCAACAAGAGACAGTGGCAAGGAGTCCAGGAGGACCCCCAAACCAAAACAGGACAGGGCCATGACTGTAATTAATATCTGTCTGTTAGACTTGATCCAAGTTGTCAAGACCTGCAAGAGAGAATTTGATGAGCTGTCTTTCTCATCTATAATTTGTCCTGAAACTATGCTGAAAACGACTCAAGCCGGTGCTTGGGTTCGCAAGAGATGTTGCATTTTTTCATTATCCAACATGTGCAGACTCAAATCAAACCCAGTGTGTTCAGTGTTAATTAATTTACCATGTTTTCTAAGGCAGGGTTTATAAGAGTAGCTACAATTCTACTCGCATTCGACTATCTGAATGACATAGTATTTAGCTGTTGTTATGTTTGTTTAATTGTTTATTTTTTCTTTTTTCTTCTAATTTATATAATGTCATAACATTATTCAACATATTGTATAAATATATGCTATACACCAAATTCTTATAAATAACATTTTGCCTTGAATTACCTAGAATAATTTTTTCTAAGTTTATGACTCGTCGCATAACGCATTTCAATTTAATTTGAAAATAGCCGGAAGATAATGTCTCAAGTATAAATACGTTATTATAATGCAAATAATGATAAAAATTAATTATTTACGACCTTGAATCATGTAAAGAAAATTAATGAAATGAAAAGAATTTTACCACAGCGTCTTTAGAAAATAATAATGAAAAAAGACTGAATAATAAGTTATATTTCTATTGAAAATTCAAGGGAGTGGGACATGGAATTCAACCCCTCAAAATGCCAAGTCCTTCATATCACTATAAACAAAAAAAAGTAATCAACAACAAGTACTTCCTACATGGCCAAGCTTTAACATCAGTTCCTAGCTCAAAATACATTGGCCTTGACTTGTCCGCAGACCTAAACTACAGCAAACACGTACATCTCAAGAATTACATAAAATGCAAGTTTAACCCTAGGATTCATAAAACGAAATATCAATACAAAAAATGAAAATGTAAAACAATTAACTAGCTTATAAATCCCTAGTAAGACACCAGCTAGAATATATATCAACTGTTTGGAGCCCCTACACACAGTCAAACATCCAAAAAATAGAGATGGTCCAAAGACGAGCGATATGATGGGTAAAACATGATTACCCCCCCCCCCCCCTTGGTCATAAGTTTCAGCCATGCAGAAAGATCTTGACTGGCGTCCTCTTGAGCATCGCAGACTAAACTTAAGACTTATTATGTTTTTCTTTTTTAATTTACCATAATCTAGTAGCCATTAGCCTTCCCACCTACGTTTAAACTATATCTAGGCTTACTAGACATATGCATCCCCTCTCTCTTAGGAAACTACACGTTACATCAGACTACCATAAGTTCTCTTTTTTTCCCCATTGTACCAAACTTTGGAACCAGCTCCCAAGGAACACTGTCACCCTGCCTGATATAGATCAATACAAACAGGCAGTGGTTAAGATACAGTATTAGTTGACTTGTTGTGCTTTTACTTTAAAATCTTTCTTTTACCCTTACTAATAAAAACATTTTAACAATGACTGGGATTTTTCGTGTCTCTCACTGTCCTGTTAATTTTCAGGTTTTTACTTTCTCTCACACCTTTCACTAACACACCTGACGCGCACTATTCTTGCCTTTGACACTCGCGAGACGGGTTGGCAGTACTCAGAGAGATAGATAGATAGGATAATTCGAAGGTATTTGGTAAAAGTAAATGTTAAAGTCAAATGCAATACTTCCCCTCTAATCACTTCATACAAAATACGACGGACAGACACAATTCACAAATTGCACGAGATCATAGTCTTCAACGACGCATAAGTATAATTTATAAACGACACACGGCAAATTGAACGTTACAAATAAGTTGAACCATAACAGATGCTTTTATTACTTTAGTTGCAAAAAGCAAGCCACTAGCAGTATCCTGGTTGTACTATCTACCGGGAGTGTAAGCCTTATTAGGCCCACCATCATATAATACAGAAAAAATCTAGGATAAAATAATTATTAACTGTAGAAGCTGCCATTTTTTGATAAATATATAGATTATCCAAAAGAAATTTTAACTATAGATCAAAAAGAAATGTATGTGAATAACCTCATATGAGAGGCAGCCATTTTTGTTTTTAGGTACTTAATACCAGGAATGACTTTTAAACAATCAATAAAAGTTAAAAACATATGTAAATGGTCCATTGCTGTTAATGACACTAAAGTTCTGTTCAATATTTATCAGTTATCACACAGTAAAAGGGTAACAATTTGATAAGCATTTGCACACACATTCAAAATATCATGATGGGTCCAAATCGTTAGCAATATTACTGCTTTTTATACATAAAACACATTTATGTGAATAGGGTTATTAAAATAAAACTTTGAATTTTCTTCAAAAAAGGCTATATTTTGTATGAAATTAATGTGAAAAACACTTGCATACAAAAGAAATTTTTTATGTAAGTATTGTTTGTAATATCTGGACATTCCCGGTACAAAGTACCTCCCGGTATTAAGTACCTTGATGCCTATCAGTCCACTACTTGTTTCCTATCTGCGAAACAGTCTTATTTTGAACGAAAATATTTTATAAAATTTCCGGAAATATAAAGTTCATTTCGCGCTTTGTTCGCATGCGGTATACCTTTGCTTTCATCCAAAAAAGAAGATATTCTAGCGTTTAAAATGATGTAATGAAAGATATAGCTGAAAATGATATATAAAGGTTTTTGATTTATCCGTTCCTACAACATATTTATGCATAACATATTTTAATTCGGTAGAAAGTAGTCGTTTGACACTTTTGACTAATGAATCCCGCTAAACTTGATGCATCACTTTGTCAAAATCGAATACGTTCCAAAATGGCGGACTTGTTTGAATTATTTTGGTTTAAGAACATGAAATCAATGTTGTGATGATTTATGCTTTTTTAACGTATAAGAGTTTCGCTATTTTCAAGTATATACTTCATCCATCTGACCCACATGGAGTTAAAACTCGTGAAACTTCTTACTGCACTTTCATGATTTTTATTTGTCAAAATCATGACAACATAAAATCACTTTTATCAGTTTTGCATTCATGCAGTCTGATTTAAGTTCAGTTCTTCTTATGTTTATTTATAGATCTGATGATCACTAACTCATTTTTTTGTTCTTGACAATTTGGAGTTTCCAATAACCGAATAAGGCTATTTTAAGCAAACCAGACTTGAATCAATCATCAGGATAGGGGCTGCAAAATCAATTTTCTGTATTGCCCAGGGTTGTCCTAAAGCCTGTAAAGACGAGTGGGAATTTTCAAAATCTTGCTATAAAAATATCAGAATGATACAGATAAGTTAAGAAATGCTTCATGGACGAGTCAAAATAAGATTTTGTTGGCTGGAATGAATCAAAGCATATAACAAAACTGTCACTGTCCACAAAGTCAGAAAAGTCATCAATTTTGCTTTAGAAAAACTTAAAGAGCATACTGGTTGGAGACCACCAAAACCGGACAACCACCAAATCTGGACGGCCATGAAAATTCATGATTTTGATACCCTCCTACACAGGCCTCAGATATAAATATCAAAATAATTAGAAATAAACAAACTATTCCATTATAGGAGAAGAACCTAGCTGTACTGTGTCAAATTTTCAGATCTCTAGCAGCATGCCCATTCATACACTACAGTGCGTAATTCACACACAAAATTCTAGATGCACGCATAAAAATTGTAAGCCCCCTTTACATGCATGCAAAGTAAAATTGTCAGAATGAATGTTTGGGTCAGGGATAGCCTAATATGCATATCAACTAAATGTCGTTGTCATCTACCAATGGTTAGGAACAGTACAAACCCGGTCAAAATTGCATGTCTGCTTTCAAAGTCATCTCAGTCTGATTTGTAAATATTTTAGTGATGTCTTGACGTCACATGTACTACCTTAAGAAAAAAAGTTTTGGATATTTACAACTGCCAAAAAGTCTTTTGAGTTCTCCAATGATCAGCAAAAAGTTAGTCACTTTATTTTTTAACAACTACTTCAATTGTGACTTTTATGTATGTCGTATGAAATTAAAATATAAACAATTGAGATTTTGAAATAAATGTACATAATTATGATCAATCTGGGGCCATTTATAGCCTCTCACAAGTCCAAAATTTTCTTGGCGATGAGGGGGACTCCGCCCCCCTTCAAACCCCCCAAACAGAAGGGGGCACATCCCCCTTCTGGCAACCCCCTGATGTATCTTTTGGTTGGGGGACCGCGCACTTTTTTTAACAACATTTCTCAAAACAAAAACAAGCGTTGGGGGCCTAAATAAGGCATTTTTCACCATTTGAGACAACAAAAAGGGGGCGGGGGGTGAAAAAGGCGTTAAAAGGCGTGTATATAACGTAATGGGTTAATTTTCATACTTTATTTTTTTCAGGGCCATTTCTCCGAAAGTATATAAGCTATGGACTTGAAACTTCATAGGATGATAGATCTCATTAAGAAGTGCAGTGCACAAGAACTGGTACTCTGCATTTCTTATTTTTTGAGTTATTGCCCTTTGTTAATTTTCGTACTTTATTTTAACCAGGTCATTTCTCCTCAAGTATGAAAGCTATAGACATGAAACTTCTAAGTATGATAGATCTCATTAAGAAAAAGTGCAGTGTACAAGACTTGGTACTCTGCATTTCTTATTTTTGAGTTATTACACTTTATATATTTTCATATTTTATTTTTGTCCAGGCCATTTCTCATAAATTATAAAAGATATGGACCTGAAACTTCATAGAATGATAGTTCTTATTGATAAGAAGTGCAGTGCATAGAAACTGCTGCTCTTCACTTATTATTTTTTGAGCTATTGCCCTTTGTTAGTTTTCGTATTTCATTTAACCAGGTCATTTCTCCTCAAGTATGAAAGCTATAGACATGAAACTTCTTAGGATGATAGATCTCATTAAGAAAAAGTGCAGTGTACATGAACCGGTACTCTGCTGCATTTCTTATTTTTGAGTAATTACCCTTTACATATTTTCATATTTCATTTTTGTCCTGGCCATTTCTCCTAAACTATATTGTTCACAAGGCGACACATCCGATATTTTCCCCTTTAGATTGAAAATTGGAAAAAAATCACCGGTATCAAAGCATTGATTGAAGGTTATTTATCTAAAAAGCGTGGGTGTCATCGTTGTTGTTCACTTGTCATATCTTGAAATCTGGCAGTTGAACATGAATAACACTCATGTTTCTGGTTTCACAACTGTTAAAAAAAACTTATCCACTTTCAAATACACAAAAGTGGCCACTGACTGATTGATAGAAAGGACAAGAGAACTGAGAAGGTGACCTTTTATTGGTTACCATCATATCCTTATGCATATCATTATCAATATACTTAACCACTAAATTAATGTAACCACAGTCTTCTCTGTCCAAAATTCTCCTTTTTTCTCTTCGCAAAGCACCTTTCCATTAAAACTTAGTAAAACTAAATGAGAACAAAAACACAAGTTGGTGAGTTGTGTGGGTACTTCACCTGTTAAGCTTCTAATGGTTCCAGAAGGTAGAAGGCCCTTTACAAAGGATGTGAAAATCCTAAAGTCCCCTGCAATGCCCCATAGTTGGGGGATAAGGGCTATATTTAGATTAGCCCCCCCCCCCATAGTCTTAAACCAGGATAAACATAAGGGTCCATTCCAGGAGGTTGCCTCAGAGAAACCATTCATTTTAAATTGTGATAAAATACCATTGTCATCCCAAAACTACAAGGACATTTTTCTAGCTTTTGGTAAAAATGTTTTAATATCAAGCGCTGAGAACAGTTGAGCATGCAGCCCAACCAACAGCTCTTGTTTACGTTTGTAATAAAATCTTTCAAGATATTCTGTAAACTGTCACAGCTCCTTTAACTGTTACACAATTTTTCTTATTCAGATTGATCAGTGATGGACCAGCGTGTTTATTTGCGATTGGAGAATGGGGAAATTGTTGCCATTGAGGGAGGTGAAGGTCATGGCTCATCATATGTAATCCAGAATGGCGATTCAGATGAGATATCTAGCTCTGTACAGGGAACCACCTCACAAAGTACATCCTATGTTATAGGTGGCAATGGTCTTCAAAATAGAACCAGTTCAGTTGAAAATGAATCAAGTCAAGGTAATTATTTTATATGAAACCTGGCTGTAATTAAAACTTTTGTTTTATCCCATAACCTGCTGACTTTTTGTAATGGAATTTACTCTGATACAAATAAAAAAACCATTACTCTCTAATTGTTAGAGATATATAGAAGTTATATCAATATGAACAATACAATATACAGTATATAGTTGGGTCAGTCTGAATGGATGTGCAGGCTGGCCTGGTTATATACTCGTGGCAAAGATAATCACTTTTTTTTCCAGCTGGGTAAAAGTTAAACTCCTAGTTTCAGATACATTATGTGTTTGTAACAAACTTTTTTCAGATTTCTCAAAAAAATGTACAGTAGTATATAAAATATTTTTTCGCATCATCAGTCATTAACCTGTCAATAATGAATTAAGTTATTAACTTCAAACCTATCTGTTCAATGATATTTAGATATTCCACTATTGAAATGATGATGGGTTTGAGTTCAGCTTTTATTACCACAGCTCTATCTTTCAAGTATAAAAGTAATTTTTATGATGCATAAAATTTATTAATACATTTTGTTTTTCATGGCATTTTTCTTGATTTGAATATCATTACTACAAAAATGAATAGTTAAAAAAAGTTACACTCCAATTTATACTTGAATTACTGGTACTTAAAGTTATAATAGAGCAGCTTATGCCTAGTCATTGAAGTCTGACATCATCTTCTTTATGTGTCTAATTTTTCTGTGCTTTGCCGCCTTGGATAAAAACATTTTATAGTTGCTATTGTTTTATGAACTTGTTGTCCATAACAATTTCCATAAATCTTTTGTAAATCCCATCAGCAACTTGTATACTACTGTTATTCCAATTCAAAACTTTTTTGCAGAAGGATATGGTGAAGAAACAGAAACACTGGGAAATATTGCTATTGAAAACAGTGGCTCAGAAAATATTGTCTACATTGTGCAGCACGAGGTAAGAGCAAAATGAGATCAAATCTTTTAATTTCAAAGACTAGCATATATATTTTACAAACAAGTTATATAGGCAAAATCAACATTGTCAGTGTATTTACAGGGCCAGTAAACATTTGATTAAGGTGCCTGCTTGTTTTTGAACTGAAACTGTAAAGTGTTTTACTTTATGAATCCAGAAATCTACAAGTTGGAAAAGTACATCATTAATGAGATAGCTTTCTATTTATTTTAACTGAAAATTCATTCATCATGCCAGATTAAGGTTAGTTTCCATTGAAAAGATCTGTTACACATTATTTTAGATTAAGCCTTTTCAGCTTTTTGAATAGGAAATAAATTACACATGTATAACAAAAATTTATACACTACAGTGAATACTAAATAGCAAGAGTAGCGAATTTCCAAAATTCCAAAATTATCTTATTCATTATTATTTCAGGGAGGTAAAACTGATGGCATTCAGTATGCTGTTGTTGAAGGAGCAGGCTCCATAGATACTTCTTATGCTATCCAAACAGTTGATCCCAACAAGGCAGATGCTGGTGATAACAAGTCAATTCAATACACTGATATCACCAATGTACAGGACCTTAGTGGTATAGAGACATTATCAAGAGTGGCATCTCAGGAATATGCTGGTTCCATTGCTTTAAGTGTAACAAGTGGAACCAGGCAGCCAAATGGTGGAGACAATCCTGTAGATGTTGTTTTACAGGACAAAACTGAGAGAAACAATGATGAGAATATAAGACTGTCTTTCTATTGCCAACACTGTGCTGAGACATTTGAAGACTTGACAAACTTTAGATTACATCTTAAGACTGAGCATGATATTGCAGAGTTTGAAGGGGGTTCTGATGTTGAAAATGAATTTACTCTCTTCTCTACATGCGAAGTCTGTTCACAAACATTTCTAGATGTGAAAGAATTAGAAGAACACAAAAAGATACATGACAAAGACATTGACTCTGTTTCAGACACTTTGGTTGAGTTAAATCAAGACAGTAAAGCAAATAATGTGGTGAATAAAGGGAATTTTAAATGTAGACACTGTGATAAAATCTTTGATAGCAAAAGTATGTTACTAGACCATGTTGCATTAGAGCATCCTGATAAAATAGTGCAAGAGCAAAGTAAATCTAGTTCCTTTACAAAATGTCCATACTGCCATAAGATGTATGTACTTAGGGGAAGTAACAAAGCTATGATTAAACATATTTATGCAGCTCATCCAGGTAGGAGTGTGGAAGTTATGTCAACACTAGCCGACAAAGATGATGAATTTGAAGAGCAGGTTAAATGTCCTTCGTGTGATTTAGGTTTTTATTGGCAAAAAAGTTTAATACGTCATATCAAAGATCAGCATCCTAAGTTACTTGAAGAGAATGGCAATGATATATTTGCTGTACTTGGTATAAAAGATTTAAAGACACCGAAAAGACGGTATAGACGTTCATTGAAGGACGACAATGAAGAGGCTGAAGTACATTGTACAGAATGTCCGAAAAAGTTTTTATGGGAAAAAAGTTTAAGGAAACATATGATGGTCTGTCATAATGAGTCTTCTTCACGAAATAGAAAAGGAACCTTAGTTTATACCTGCCCTTATTGTTCTTTGATCTCTAAATATGCATGTGCTGTTAGAAAACATATAGAGAGAAAACATCCAGAGGAGGTGAAAGGTTTAGATGTTTCAAAGTTGCAAGTGCCAACAGTGGAAGCTGATGCTGCTACAGGTCTGGAATTGAAAACTGTGGATAAGAGACCAGCTGAGGTTAGACTGAATTACAGACGGCCCATATTCAGGTGTCCGTTTTGCTCGTATGCTTCCAACCAGAGCTCCAACTTAATTCGACACTTAACATCAGTAAAACATGGAAATATATTCAGTTTTGAAGAACTGAAAGCAATTAAAATCAGATCTTTCAAGGTTAGAAAAATAAAGGTGAATGATGAAGAGGATGATGATGAGGAAGAAAATCTTGATGGTACAGTTCAGAAACGGTTACCTAAACTAAAGCTGTCAGCTAACATATTTAACATTGTAATGAAAAAGATTGAAGTATTGAAAGAGCAGAATTTGGGGATTGTAGATAATTTATTTGAAAAAAAGTCAAGTGATGATGAATTTAGTGACATGGACATTGATAATATCATTGATGTTGCTGAGGATGAATCAGAGGAAAGTTTTGATGAAGAGGAGGTCAAATCAAAGGAAACACGGAGGAAGAGCAACACAAGGAGGGCAAAATTAGCTAGTAAAAGTGTTGGTGAAAAGTTAAAGAGAGATAAAGAGAATGATTCAGAAGTTCATGAACAAATGGAGATTTCAGATGATGAAGAATCAGTGAACACAAATGACGTGCAAAATGCAAATGCGACAGGTAACGATGATGTACAGCAAATTGAAGAAAACTCAAAAAAGAAAAGTGACTTTTCTGCTGATAATGAAATGGAAGAAAATACTAGAATTGAAAATGATTCAGAAGTTGAGAAAGATATAAGCTATAATGATGATGGTGATGATAATAATGAAGGTGATGCTAAAACTAGTCAAAGACATATGTCAAGTGTAACAGCTAATAAAAATAAAGGACTGTCTGGTAGTAACGTTATTGAAATCACTCAAGAAAGTCATAGGAAGAAACCGAATTTGAAAAAGGCGCTAGTCTGTGATGTTTGTCAGAAAGAGTTTGGGAATTTTTTTGAGTTTAAGGAACATTTGCCTTCTCATGTAAATATAAAAGTTATACTCAGGTGCACAGAATGTGATCATGAATTTTCTCTCCTAAAAGATGTGAAAAGTCATATGAGAAAAGAACATTATCAGGTTGTTACTGATGTGGACATTTCAAGTGTACAGACTAGTAGCATACTGATGAATGGAAAACCTGTTACAACATACGACTGCCCATACTGTGAAATGTTGTTTTCACAGTCTGCTTCTCTTCAGCAGCACATTATAATGGACCATACTGACGGTATTAAAACAGCATGTATCAAACAGGAACATGATGAGGAAATGAGACATAAGCACAATGAAACAGTTGTACTGGCTTTCAACTGCCAATTTTGTGAATGCTTTTTCCATAACATACAGGACATTGTAAAGCACATGTACATTGTACACAAGGATGTCAGTAGGTCAAGTGTGAGTATGGATTCTGCTGTTAGAAAGTCTGGGAGAAAAAGGAGGGTACCAAAGTGGCTTGAAGAAGCAAGTGATGGTTTAAGTCCTGCAAAGAAAACTAAGGATAAGAATGATGGAAATGAAAATTTAATGGTATTGTCATCGACAAAAGACACTCCAGTGTCAAGGCCTAGAAGTAAAATACAAACAAAATCAATGGATGATAACAAAGTTAATAAAGAAAAAGTTAAACAGATTAAAGTGCATAAAGGAGACCCTGATAGTTTAGATAAAAGTATGAAAGAAATTAATTCAGGAAGATCTATTAAAACTAATACTTCAGTTGCCAAAATTGCCATTGCAACGTCAAACAAATTCGAAGCTATAAGCAAGAAGGTGCCAAAAAGAAGTGAAAATCAAATTTCAAAGCTTCCCAAGAACAGAATATCAAAGGTTGTTTTAAATGATTCAGTTAAAAAACAAGATGAAGGTGAAAACCAGAACAAATGCCCACATTGTGATTTTGTTGCAAGAAGGTCTTCCGCATTAGTATTTCATATCAATATAAAGCATGGAAACCTTAACAAGGAAGATTCTGAAGAAGGGATAAGAAAGAAACCAAGTGAAATAGTGGAAAAGTCTCCAAAGAAATTGTCAGACCCAGATATCATTTCAAGAAGGAAATCGGAGATTTTGATAAAAGGAATGCAAAATAACCAATCTTCTTTATCAAGTCCAATAGAAGACAAACTGAAAGAAAGGCAAAATTGTAAAAATGCACAAGGAGTTGGACAGAATGGTGCAAATAGTATTACAAAAGTCAAGAATATTGAAATAGTAAATCCTAGTGAAATGATGAAAGACAAAATAGATAGCCAAGCATTATTGGATGAAATTGAAGAAATTGAAAATGAAAGGGATTTTGATGATGATAATGATTATGACTTAGAGTTTGGAGACTCTGATGATGATTATAAACCAGAGAAGGATAATGATGATGGTGACAGTGACAGTGATATGGATGATCTAGATGATGATGTTGATGAAGGTTATTCAGTCTCTGAAAGCTTGGAATGCCCATACTGTAAAACTGGGCTTTTTGTGAAATTTAGTGTTCTGCAGTCCCATGTACAGAAAAGACATCCAAGTTATGCAAGTACTTTCAGTATTGCTGATGTGAAATCAAATGTTGAAATTGATGGTACAATAGGATCTTCAAATCTTGTTCACACTTGTAAATATTGTAAGAAAAGTTTTGCAAGTAGATCTCACGTAAGAGCTCATGTCAGGACTAAACATAGTAACAAAATTAGTGAAACTCCTGAAAAACCAGTACTCGAAACTGTAGATAAAACTGTAGAATATTATAAATGTAATTTTTGTAACATGTTATCCAATTACAAAGAAAATATACTTTCTCATATAAGTAGGGAGCATGCATTAGAAAGAGAAGTTCGACTGGAGGAAATTGTAAAATTTACATTTAAAGATTCAGACACTGTACAGAGCATGTTTAAATGTCCACATTGTAATTACAAAAGCAGATGGAAACAGACAATATTTAGGCATATTAGTAAAGAACATTCAGATGTGAAGGAAGGCTCTATAGAGATAGTGTGTGAGAAACAATTAGTGAGGAATAAGCCTCAGGTTAAATACCAATGTGTATATTGTAAGTGGCAATATGAAAGAAAAAGTGATGTTCTTACTCATATAACAGAGACTCATTCTGATCAGCCAGCTGTTGTTGAAGAAGATATTCCTATAATTCATATAGCAGATGAGGTGAACGATAACTTCCAATGCCCCTATTGTGGGCTTAGAAGTAAATATAAAAAATGCATAGGTCGACATATTAGCAGAGTTCATAGAAAGGAAGGTGGCGCAACAAAAGACATAATTTGCTTGAGTTCTTCGAAGACGAGGAATACAGTTTTAGAAGGTCTGGTGTATATGTGTCCTTATTGTGATTTTGATAGTCGATGGAAACAGGGTGTTGTTCGTCATATGCAGTCTACTCATACAGATGTTTTAAACATGGATTCTGAAGCAATTCCAAGTGAATATAGGTTAAAATCTGTATTGAATCTTGATGAAGTTGAAAGTAATGAGCATGTAGTTGACACAGATGCTGATTATTTCAAGTGTCCCTATTGCGATTCTGTCAGTAAGTCTAAAAAAGGAATAGTTGAACACACTGCTAAATACCATCCAAAGAAACCTAGAATTGAGCAAAGGCAGGTTGAGAAAGCTGTATGGGAAGAAAGGGACATCACAAGCAAAAATACCCTCTTCAAGTGTCAGGCTTGTGACAGTGGTAGCAAATGGAAAAAATCTGTGGTCCTTCATATGTTGAAAGAACATCCTGAAATTAACAAGTTCCATGTTGACTTATGCAAGGCTGAATTCTCAAAAGAAGGAGAAAACAGTGGTAGCATGTATATATGTCAGCTTTGTAATGAGTTATTTACAAACACAAGAGCAGTTTCTGCCCACTGTATTCACATTCATCCGAATGAAGTAAAAATTGTTGTGGAAGCTATATCATCAGCTGAGAAACTTGTCAATGTTTTCAAATGCTCGTATTGTGACCATACCTCAGGTTGGAGAAAATCAGTAATGAAGCACGTAGAATTACATCATCCAGAAATTACAAACTTCCAAGCCAAAGACGTTGTTTGTGAGGTTATACAGAAGACCGAACATGATGGTACAGGCGGCTTTCAGTGTCCATTTTGTGATACTGTAAATCACTGGAAAAAGAGTATTGTTCGCCATATTAAAACCGTTCATCCTCAAGAAGACCAGAATACGCCAATTCATTTCAATCCATTAGCCTCCATCAAAGTTGGTGGACGATCTTCAAGAAAAAGCAGCAAGCAGATAAAGTGTCGTCGATGTAAGATTTCTTGTAGAAGTATTGAGAAGATGAAGCGGCACTTTCTGTCACAACACCCAAAGTTGGCAAAGAATTACCTGAATAAAGAGAACACTGAGTTCGTATATGACTCATTTGCAGGTAGAAAGCTTGATTTCAAATGTATTCTGTGCAGTGCAAAGTACATGTGGAAGAAAAGTTTGCTTGTACATATGAAAAATCGTCATGAAGACATATTTCATGTTTACCAGGCATTAGACCATATAGTGGAGATAGTGGAGGCATGCACTGATGGTGAGTTAATTAGATAACTTTTAGGGGTACTAATGTAAGCTTTCAAGATCTATATTGTGTATTATTCTCAAAAAAAAATATTCAGCAAATTTTAACAGCCTATATCCAGCTGTGTTTTCTTTCCATTTCAAATTTTCATTGTTGTTTGTAATAAATCTCATAGACATATGCCCTTAATTATAATACTAAGTACTGCTAATCTGAATTTTATGCACTCAAAATTAAAGTCTATTTCTTAAATGATAATCCTTTGTTCTAATCTAAATAATGATTGATTCATTAAGATTACATCTATATAATTATATTGAATAAATTTACAATTCTGTTTTATATTGTAGAAATAATTATAGCCAGTGTATGAATATCTACTTCATATGTTGTTATGCAATAAGTCTTAAACTTTCTTTACAGGTTTAGAATTAAGTAAAGAGCAGACTTCTACAATTCAGCAAATTCCTGTGTCCAAAGCCACAGTGGTATCAAAGAATGCAGGTATTATTTCTTCTGTACTAGACTTAAAATTCAGAAAACTATTGACATACTTATATAGTTGTATCATAGTTTGAAGACTTAGACTATTGAAAGCCTGTCAGAGATAAATGGTATACCAATACATGCACAGTGCGTTAAATGGAGTGCAGGTATTCGTTACCTGCACTCACTGTCTGTTTAGAGCATGCTCGTTGATTGTTTCATTGGCTATGCCCACTCATACAAATCAGATAGTTCCATGCTCAGTTGAATTTGTAATACATTTCATTATTTACTTTTATCATGGTAAATGACAAATAATTGATAATGAAAAATGTTTAAGATAATGTTGACTTCCATACTACATACTTATTCACTTTATTTGTACTTGTATGAACAATACAGAGGAAGCAGGCTCAAGTATTTAGCCAAAGGCTTATTGTAACTGTTTGGAAACTGCACACCTATTAGCATTTTTTAGGCTTAATGGGCCTTTAAGAAAAAAATTATGATGGAATGTTACTTTGAAAGAGTGTACATAATCAAGTGTTTTAATTCATTTTGATGTTTTCAGATTTAGAAAGAAGATTAAAATGTGGAATGTGTCATATGACGTTTAAAACACAGTGGGCTATCAATGTACACAGGCGACTGAAACATAAAAAGTGTCCAAAAACTAGGTAAGTCAGCCAAAACATCGGGATAATAAGATTTTTATACGCCGACGTATTATGGGAACGCCTCTGGCGGGCGGGCGGCGTCCAATTTTGTCCGGAGCATATCTCCTACATGTATGGAGGGATTTTAATGAAACTTCATAGAAATGTTCACCACTATGAGGAGCAGTGTCGCGCACATGAACCAGGTCTCTAGGTCAAAGGTCAAGGTCACACTTAGAGCTCATTGAAAAATGCTTGTCCGGAGCAAAACTTCCACATGTATAGAGGGATTTCAATATAACTTGGCACAAATGTTCACCATTGTGAGGCGGAGTGTCGCGCGCAAGATTCAGGTCCTTGCGGCCAAGGTCAAGGTCACACATAGAGGTCAAAGTTCAGATAAAAAATATGAAGATGTGTATATGGACCATTTAGTCATCATTTATTGAGGGATTGTAACACAAATGGTCATTATCAAGACTATGGCTGTGATACATATAATTTAGGTCAATATATACAAGGTCAAGGTCACTAAAGATGATGAAATATCCAGATTTTGTCCGGAGCATATCTCCTACACGCATGGAGGGATTTTTAATGAAATTTCATAGAAATGTTCACCATTATGAGAAGCCATGTCACGCACATGAACTAGGTCAAAGGTCAAGGTCACACTTAGAGCTCATTGAAAAAACGCTTGTCCGGAGCAAAACTTCCACATGCATAGAGGGATTTCAATGTAACTTGGCACAAATGTTCACCATTGTGAGGCGGAGTGTCGCGCACAAAATTCAGGTCCCTGCAGCCAAGGTCAAGGTCACACACAGAGGTCAAAGTTTAGATAAAAATATGAAGATGTGTATAGGGACGATTTAATCATCATTTATTGAGGGATTGTATCACAAATGGTCATTATCATGACTACGGCTGTGACACATGTACTTTAGGTCAATATATGCAAGGTCAAGGTCACTAAAGATGGTGAAATATCCAGATTTTGTCCGGAGCATATCTCCTACATGTATGGAAGAATTTTTATAATACTTTATGGAAATGTTCACCACCATGATATGTATTGCTCCATGCATGATCCAGGTCTCCAGGTCAAAGGTCAAAGTCACACTTAGAGCTCATTGAAAAACGCTTGTCCGGAGCAAAACTTCTACATTCATAGGGGGATTTCAATATAACTTGGCACAAATGTTCACCATTGTGAGGCTGAGTGTCGCACGCAAAATTCAGATCCCTGCGACCAAAGTCAAGGTTACACATAGAGGTCAAAGTTCAGATAAAATGTGTATAGGGACCATTTAGTCATCATTTATTGATGGATTGTAGCACAAATGGTAACTATCATGACTACAGGTGTGACACATTTAATTTAGGTTAATATTTGCAAGGTCAAGGTCACTGGAGATGATTAAATATCCAGATGTTGTCCGGAGCATATTTTCTACATGCATGGAGGAATTTTAATGTTACTTTATAGAATTGTTCACCACCATGAGACGTAGTGCCCTGCACATGAACCAAGTCTCTAGGTCAAAGGTGAAGGTCACAGTTAGAGCTCATAGAAAAACGCTTGTCTGGAGCAAAACTTCTACATGCATAGAGGGATTTCAATATAATTTGGCACAAATGTTCATCATTGTGAGGCTGAGTGCCGTGCATAAAATTCAGGTCCCTGCGACCAAGGTCAAGGTCACACATCCTGTGCATATCTTCCCTACTGATTTGTTTTAAGGTTCATTTAACAACACAGTGCCAAGAATAAAAACTTGCTTGCTAGATAACACTTATCCATAATGCCCCCATCTCCATCTAAAGCTTTCGTAAACGGGCGTATTTTGTGACTATGGCACCCTTGTTTTATTTGCATTTTGACTTCCAGCTTTTCAAAGAATAGGAAGAGCTATAATAATATTTGCACTTGTGTTGGTGTCAGCATTGGCGTCACACTTTGGTTAATTTTTAAGTTGGTATCTCAGAAAATACTGAAGGGAATATGGGTTGAAACTTCACACACTTATTGGAGAGTGATGACTTGCCAGAAAGAGAATATGTGTATAGAGTCTAAGGAAAGTCAGTGTTTTTGTTTTCTCAAAGTTTTAGGGCAGAGATAGATTCTAGAAACTGCAAAAAACAAAAAAGTATTTTTTTCACAATTGTGTAATCAAAATTCAAATTGTCAAATTATAGTTATTGACAAATTGTCAGTGACTTAAAAATATGATGGACAGAGAACTTAGTTTAAAAAGGCATTAATTATTAATCCAAGCATTTTCCACAGAAAGGAATTTTAACTTTTTCCCCCCAATAAATAGGTAAATTTTAACAGTATAAAGTAGGACTATATTTGCAAATAATGGCATTATGCTGCTAATTTTCAGAATTCAAACCCATTCATACTGGAAGAAAACATTGAGTCAGTCACATGGCATAAAGTCAAAGACTGGGGGAGAAAACACTGAGTCAGTCACATGACATAAAGTCAAAGACTGGGGGAGAAAACACTGAGTCAGTCACATGACATAAAGTCAAAGACTGGGGGAGAAAACATTGAGTCAGTCACATGGCATAAAGTCAAAGACTGGGGGAGAAAACACTGAGTCAGTGGCATGGATTAGAGACTGACATTGCTTTGCAGAATCGGCATAGGAATGTTTTTCCATGGTTCAGACAGCTTCTATCATTGTTATCATTGATTTTTTTCAGGTTTCCATGTAACAAATGTAGCTTGTCATTTCCAACATTACTGTTACGTTTACATCACAAGATCCGATATCATAGGCACTATGTGCATAGACTGATGTTGCAATGTACTATTGCTGGATGTAATTTCAGGTAAACCATTCAAAATTAATTTATCATGTATCCTATCATGTATCCTACATATTTCAATTATTTCAAAATGTCTGAATTAATATGGAAGTTGATTTCATACTTCTCTTCACAGCTGTCGGTTCAAGTCGGGGACGGGAAGTTTAGTTCCGTCAAGTGAAGAAGTATCCACCTGGCTTACTAAAAGTGGTTGTTATACATGTACATTAGTGGTTATTATGCCTGAAATAATTCATCATTAGTAATATTATAAGTAAAGAATTATATATTTTTTATCACTTTTATAGCTCTGATATGACTTCAAGGAGCTTCACTGAGGTCCAAAAGCCTTGTCTCTAGCAGAGTGGTTAAGGTTGTTGACTTCAAACCACCTACCCTTTACCACTGTGGGTTCGAATTTGACGGACTGGATTCTTTAATGTGAGGAAGCTATCCAGCTAGCTTATCGAACATTGGTGGTTCTAATCAGGTGCCTGTTTGTGTCTAAAATAATGTTCAGAGGGGCACCAGAGGCCTTCCTTCGCCAGTAAAGCTGGGAAGTTGCCATATGACCTATACTGTGTAGATGCGACATAAAAACCAACAAACAAGCGAAACAAAAAGTAAAATTTTACTTGTGTTTGCAAAACATGTCTTCCACACCTGGAAAATCACATATGGCCTTAGTGATGCTGGTGTTAAAAATTAAAAGAAATGTGGCTGAATGAATTAAAGTTGTGTTATAAAGTGTTTGAATCTTGTAGAGAATGTAGAATTCTTTCAAGTTAGGATGCTGTCAAGCTAGCCTACATGTATTATTGGCTTAAATTATAGTGCTATGGACATTTTACAGTAAAGTAATTCAAGTAAAATAACAACACCATGGATTTCTCTTTTTCAGTTGCAAGTTCCATAAGGTACTACAGAATCACTATAGCAACAGACACAGTCTAAAGATACCAATATTGGGAAATACAACTTTCTCAACATATGGTGAGTATTATATGCTTTATTGCATGACTGAACTTTGCATCTTTTGAATGACTTCTTAAACCCATTAAAGTAATTAAACAACTGCCTGAATAATAGCTGTCACTGCCTCTGTCACCGAGTTGTTAAGGATGTTGGCTTTGAACAACATGCCCAAACTGCTGTGGTTAATACTTTAGATTATTTCATGTGATAAAGCTTTTTGGCCAGCTTAAGGATCCAGCCTAGGGAAGGTTGGTGGTTCTACTCGGTACCCAACCATACCTGAAATAATGCATAATGGATTGGTACTTGAGGTCTTAATACACCAGGACAGCTAAAACATAGCAGTATAATTTTAACACTATCGGTTTGACTTTAAATGCAAACCAACTCTGATTTTGGTGGATATATTGATATCTGATTACAACATTGCTTATACTTTAAATGTAATATACGGACAAATAACTATGCTAATCTTTCAGTCAAGTCCTTCAGTGATTTCCTCCCTGTAATATATTAAATTGATGTGATTTGTTGTCTGACACCACTAAACAGGCTTTGTTAAACAAAATATGATTTACAACAACAAATAAGCAATTTATGATTTTTTTCTTTCCTTAATAATGTTTTGTTTGATTTAAACAAAAATAATATTTTACCAGTTCAGATGACCATACCAATTGTTGTCACTCTAAACAGAATAACACATAAAGTAATTTGCAACAGGTGACATTCTGTCCTCAGACTTCAAACCATATGATATTAATATAACTTCGGGTACCATTTATATACATGTAATTTCCTTTTGCATACATTATTTTCATGATTTCAGTAAAATACTACACTATATGTAGTGATTTATACATTTTCAAATTATCAAATTGAAACCTGGAACACTTATTACCCTGACATGGAACAGTTGTTTGACAAGGGGCCTAAAAGCAATATTTTAAATTTTATAAGTAATACCACTTCTTGGCTTTAAATATTTAAGAAAATTAAAAATCTTTTGTAGGTGCAGCTGGTTCAGCCAGGTGTGAGATTTGTTTACGAACATTTAAGAACAAGGATATATTGAAGCAACATGTTGACCTACATAAGAAATGGCGGCCTGTAAAGTATCAATGTGGCACATGTGGTGAGCAGTTCCAGACTGGGTCACTCAGGGATGCTCACATTGAAACGTTCCACTTTGACAAGCTGGAGATGTGTGATATTTGTGGAAATCTGTAAGTGTTTAGTTTTTTTAACAAATTTATTTTAGTTTGTGTTGGAAGCTTCAGTTTGTTGTAAGTTTATTGAAACACTCTCAAATCCCTTCCTGGAACCAACCAGTATTATGCCTAGGTCACAAATAAAACGGCCGCCGTCCGATTAAACGATTTTCATAAAATCGGCAGATTTTTTGATGTCGTGGACGCTGGGCGATTTTAAATCTGAGACCTTGCGTGGTCATGAATGAAACAGTCGTCGGGCGATTTTTGCCGAGTAGATTTTACAGAAAGAATTGAACGGATCAGGCGGTCGCCGCCCGATGTCCGTACGGCGCCTGTGCGATTAAAAAGTGAATCGGACGGTTGCCGCGCGGGCGCCGGGCGACAATGACTTTACATTTAATGACATCCTAGATAAATCAGCTAGTTGTAATTATGCCAGCAAAGAAGTCAGCTGCCAAAGCCAAGGGAAGGCCAAGGAGTTGGTCCGTGTTGTTGACAACGAGTCACCAACGACCAGTATCGAGGCCGTAGAAGGCGAAAATCAATCAGACATTCGCATGGACATTGAAGAAAAAATTCATGTTTACTAGTATTCAAAAGAAATTCACAAATATATTTTTGAGGCAATTACAACTTCTTCAAGCTGAAATTACAACAAACACAAGCAGCCCGGTCGCCGGATGACAAAACGATGACCGCCCGGTGCCTGTACATGAATCGTCCGGGTACCGGGCGATAATCGTTTGACTACTTGTCTCTATTCAGGCACCGGGCGGGGCCCGGCCGATGTCCGCCCGGACGCCTTTTAAATCGGACGCTGTTTTAGTAGAACAAAAAATCGCCCGATCAAAAAAATCATCGCCCGGTCGCCGCCCGGCGACCGAACGATGTCCGCTTGATGATAAACTCAGTGACCCCAAAAATTATCGTCCGGCCGCTGTTAGCTTTTAAGTATTACTTAAAACTCGAAGGCGCCCGCCCGATGAGCAAAATTTTCAGCTGCTGCCGTCCGATAGTCACTGCCGCCGGACGGACGCCGGCCGATATTGCGATTTTTTGGAGAAACAGACGCCGCCCGGCGGCATTTTCTTATTTGTGACCTAGGCTTTAAGCAATGAATGTAGCTTCTTGCTCACAGAAGCAATTGCTTGCCCCTGATGGGGTTTGAACCCACTGGTCCAGCAATCCTTACATTACTGGTCTGATGCATTAAACACTCGGCTACACAGCCACTCTTTAATTGGAACATTGTATATAAAGCTTATATACAGGAAATTGTATGAGTGTAGGTTTAATACTAAATTTATTGAAGTATTCAACTCATTCAATAAATTCACTTTTAATATGGAATCCTTCAATAAAAACACTATTAAATCTATATGAATATAATATTCCTTTTATCATATATCCAAAGTGTAAAGCGTTTACAATTAAAAAATTTACTTTTTCATTGACTCACTTATAGTGTAATGCTAACATTTAGTCATTAGTGTGTCCTTGATTGTATCTGGGAATGTTTTATTTTATTTTCATACATATGTCATGTTTATCAAATTATGGACAAATCATTTTGTTAAAACATCCCAAGATAAAATTGTAAAAATATGAATAGTGTTTTTTGAAAATTTGAAATATGCTGGTTAAGTTTTGGAATATTTTATAGTAAATTTTGACAGGTTTCAATGCTAGAAACAGTACTCATTTTTCATATGGAGAATAATTTTTCCTACTGCTTTTTAAAGGGTTTGATGTCTGTAAACTGTAAAATAACCCTTAAACACACTTTTATTGTTATAGAGGTCAATACATCATAGCTAATATAGTCTTTTTACTCAATATAGTACCTTAAAGAGATAAAGGTCTAAAGCTGGCAAATTTGGTTGTAAAATTTCTCATAGTCAGCAAAAGACCAATAAAATGTTTTTGTAAGAAATGAGGGGTCATAGATTATTGTTATGTTGATCCTGATACACAGAAAAATATTTAACAAAGATATCAGTAAAAAAAACTAAAATCAAAAAAATGTAAAGTATAAAAAATTAAAATATATTTTCCCCTATTGTTTTAGGTACACAAGAGCCAATTTAAAGAAGCATATAAAGATTCATGATGAAGATCAATCAGCCTATGTAACCTGTCAATATTGTGAACAAGGTGTGTCTACTAGGATGTTTAACAGGCATGTGTTCCAAGGTCATCAAGATATCATGAACTGTCAGTGTGCTATTTGTACTTTAGGGCAAGTAATGCCTGGTGAAAACTGTTACAGATGCCAAATTTGTAAGCAAGCATTTTGTCAAAAACCGATGGTGTTCATTCATGGCAAACTTACCCATGCAGACGAGACGAAATCCAAGGTGTTCTCCTGCGATGCTTGTCCGCAGTACTTCTTAACAAAGCGATTGAAAGATATACATTGTCATGAGCATCACAAAAAGAAATCTTCTGATCAAAGTTCTGCACCTTCTGTTAGTCGTAGTACTAGCACTTATAATAATAGTGATCCTTCGACACACGTGATTCACATTGGTCAAGATGAGGGAAAACAGTATTTGCCAAGGTTGAGTGATGCTAGTTTGAATGCTGTCATTAAAGAATTACTTGTCTTTGAAAAGGGTGCGGAGAATCCATACAAATGTTTGCTTTGTGGCCGAAGCTTCTCGAGAGCAAAATATATCAAGCTGCACATTAGGCGTGCCCACGTTCGTGATGAAGATCAACCATATAGATGTAAAGTGTGTGGTTCTGGTTTTGTAAGGCTAACTGAGTTTAGAAAGCACTCTCGGTCACATTCTGACTTTCGTCCGTATAAATGTCGATATTGTGATAAAGCGTTCAAGCAGCAAGCTAACCTTAGAGATCATTATCGTGTACATACAAATTCCAAAGAGTTTAAATGTCTTTTTTGCAACTCCGAATTCAAACAGCGTGGTGGCCTTACATCCCATGTGGTGTTTCACGATACCCTTAAACCATTTAAATGTATGTATTGTCAGAAAGGCTTCACTACACGTGGTGAACTGTCAAGACACATGCAAAAGTACAACAAAGACCAAATGGATGTGGCAGAAAAGAGTTACCCATGCCATATTTGTGAAGAAACTTTCCCTCATTATCCAATGCTGTTGAAACATATTGATACTCATAATCCTGAAAAACCATTTCAGTGCAAAACTTGCAAAGAAAAGTTTGCCAATTTTGTTGCCATGTATTTCCACAAAGTCAAAGAAGAGCATTTGTTGCCTGAAGAAATTCAAGAGGGAGTGAACGATCTAAATAAACGAGGAAGAAAATTTAGAGTAAAGAAAAATTCTATTAAGTCTTCTGGTCCAGAAATAGTTTACAAAACAAATCAGCCAACTACTGAAACTATTTATGTTAATCAGCCAGAAGCATATTCAGAGGGGGAAGCTAGTGTGAAACCAGTGGAGGTGATAATTGAAAACTTTGACCAAGAGCAAGTTGTTCGTGTGCAAGAAAACGAGCCAGAGCATGAAGAACTGCTATCAATTGCTAAACAACTAACAGAGCTGTCTGGTTTTGCCGAGTCAGAGTATTACACCACTAAGAAAAATTTTCACCAAGAAGAAGATGAAATAATAAAGACTATGCTTGATGCAGATGATGAAGTGTTAGCTAATTTGAGTAAACAGAGTATTGTCATAAAAGAACCTGTAAATGGTAGAGAAAAAATGGGTCAAATGAGAGAAGTTAGTGAACAAAGAGATTCTGACGATGAAGATTATGATTGCATGCCAGAGATTGAGAATGATTCTTCAACAGCAATAACTAATGAAGAAGCTCAATATGTAATGCATGACAATCAGACCATTAGTCTAGCCGGTAGATCAATTCCAACCAACATGGAAGAGCTTGTTTCTCTAGTTTCTCAAAATGCTTCAGGTGATAACAATGAACAGGTAATGGCATATCAAAGCGAGGATGGTTCAGTTATTTATGTTTGTCTACCTGATGATCAAAGTATAAAAACTGAAGAGGTTGTTGCTGAAGGAACAGTTGATGAGCTAAATAATGGTACTAATAATTCTGTAACAGTCATTCAAGATTCTATAAGTATAGGGTTGAACATGGAATCTAATGAAACGAATGGGACTCTGTATGAAGGAACAAGTGAAAAAGCTCTAACAGGAACTCAAATTGTTGTTGATTCCACTATAGCAGAGGGTATAAAACATGCAGCTGAAACAGATACAGGTAGTATAATACATATACCTGCTGTTGAGGAACAAATTGGAACAAACCATTTACCTGAGACTGAACTTGCTACTGAACAGATAAATCAAGCAGATGAAACAGCTGAAGTTGAACATTTAGCATCAAATGAAATTCAGATGACAAGTTTTGTCACAAGTAATCAAAGCATTCATGTTACAAATGATCAACAAATTTTTGTAACAAACCCTTTGGGAAGCACATCTGTTGAAAACATACAAAATCCAGATTTTTCATTAGCAGAATCTAATTTTGGAAATTCTGTTATCACAATTCATCCTCAAGATGCCCTAAGTGAAGAAACTCAGGAAAGTCAAGAAGATTTGATCAGAAGAAGTCAATTAGCCAAGCACCTGACAGGTAATATAGAGCCTATGAATGAAACATCAAGGGATGAAGCTCGTGTGTATACAACTGAACATGGACTTCAAAGTATAGGCAATGAAGATAATCTTGTGGCTCATACAATGACACAAGAAGTTAATATTCGTGAAGATATTATAACCATTCCTGCTACTGCTCCTATGGTAGATTATAGTGAAACAAACATAGTGAGGAGTCAGGTAGCTGTTAGTGATGCTTCAAACTTCGAGCATGGTCAAGACAGCAGATCTGCTGATGGATTTGTTGAAGGGGAAGAAACTCTTGTTGAATATCAAATTGATGAGTCACGTTTCATTAAAGAAGAGCTTCTTGATGCGAATTATGCAGAAATGAAGGAAAAGGACCAGGAAATCATGTTCTTTTCAGATAACATATATACCTACAGCCAGCAGGAGAAAAAATTCATTTGCCTTCATTGCGGAGTAAAAATTGGATCATTTAAGAATTTGAAGAATCATATACGAAGACATGCACCAATGAGTGCTAGAATACATAATTGTAACTATTGCCCGAAAAGGTTTGTGACAAAAAACGAGTTAAAGAGGCATTTGTATACTCACACAGGTGAAAGGAATCATGAATGTAAAGTATGTGGTAAGAAGTTTATTCAGCCAGGACATCTTCAAGAACATATGCGTTTACATACTGGTGACAAACCTTTCAAGTGTACCAGTTGCTCAGCAGCATTCGTCACTAAAACACAGTTAGTGCTGCATTGGAGCAGACTTCATTCTGACAATGAAATTCCTTGTGACAAATGCGACAAAGTGTTTAAGACGCATGTTGATCTACGTAGACATAAAGGATTAGAACACACTGGAATGAAGCTTCGTTCACCAGTTGTGAAAGATGAAGGGGGTGACCATATATGTGACATATGCGGACAGTCATTTAGTAAAAAGGCCAGTTTGAAACGGCATCTTGAGAAGCATAATTTGGAAAGTATGGATGAGTCTGAAAGAGTTGAAGAACGGTATGAATGTCCTGAATGTGGTGTACAATTCAAGTCCAAATATTACGTAAAAGAACATATAAAAGTGGTACACACTAAAGAGAGAAATGAAATTTGTGAGTTATGTGGTGAAGGTTTTAAAACGAAAACTCTTCTACGACGGCATAAAGAAAACAAACATGTTGATGCTGATGGGAATGAAAAATGGTTTTGTAAAATTTGTAATAAATCTCTTGGATCAAAATATGCATATGGGTACCACATGGGTGCTAAACATTGATATTAACTGATCAATAAGCATAGTTATTAGTTAAATTTATGTTAAAGATGAGCTATATAGTCATAAAATGTATCTTAATGATAGTTCAATAATTTTCATCAAAGACTTATTTATTTGCAGGGAGTTGACTTGAAATGATTTATGGCTAGGTTTTGTACTGAAAATTTAACTGCTTTAATTTCTTCTCTAAAGATAATTATAATTCAAAAACATGTTACTACAATTTTCTATTTATTTAGTATGATTCCAATAAGACCAACCACAGCGTACATTCAATTATTTATTATTCAGTTTTTTTTCTATTTATTTAGTAAAATTACTGTCTGGATTTTTATACATCTTGGAAAGTTTTTACTATTGAAATTTTAATTACATGTACTTTTATTCTACTAAACAAGTGCTTATCCGTCAGTCCAAGTTAACCTTTTCCTCTCTATATTCTTTAAATGTACTTGACAGTCTTCAGATACCAACAAAAAACCTCTGGACAAAAGCTATCCTATCCAAAAATGAGAGTAGACAAAATGTTTGTTAATTTATTAATGTGTATGATATAATGATGTTGCTCTGGATAAATTTGTATCATATATATATATATTTAGCTTATTGCTGCTATCTACCTCAAAATAATGATAAAGATGCATTGTAAAGTATGGTAGAAGTGCTATATGGCAGAACTTGTGACTTTTCTTCCATTCATTTCATTATTTGGTATTTTGGTAATTTTGTTTGTATTCTTGTACATAGTCATATTTTATTAAACCAGCGTTTATGTATTTCTATATTAGAACTGTTTAATAATGGCATTGATATTTGTTTATGATATTACTCCTGTTAATTTAATAAAGTCCTTGTGTTAAATAATATTTGCTATTTATCTTTCAAACAACAATGGTATTACTGTCTATTTTACATCATTATTAACATGTTCTGCAGCTTCAAGGCTTAGGAATTAGATTGCAGAAAATGATGGTATATCTTGAGTTTGCTGAACTGATACATGTAGATATTGAACTGATAGATACTAACATATCCTGTATGGTTGCTAGGTTAATATTTCCTGTATGTGAAGCCGCCACTGCCAAAGTAATGTGGCCACTTAACCAACTGAAGTGTTTAGAAAGACTTTAGGTGCTCCTCCTTCCAGTTACATTTCATCGCTTATTAAACATTGTAAATCAAAACTAATGTAGGCCTGTATCAATGGGTTGATATTTTAACTGACTGCCACATAAGCAAATATGGCATACTTTTTTAATAAGTTGACAAATTAAGTTTTTAAATTCTATACATGTTGTTTCTTCAACTTCATATTCAGGCATGCAATAAATATTCACACACAGTAATATATCAATGATGCCTATAGCATACATGATGATGAGCCACAATCAGGCACCCTGGTGCACCACTTAATTACTTCATGTGAGCCAGCTAAACAATTTAAACAACTTACTTTATTTAACAAAGCAGAACAATTGGAAACACTTCATGTACTTATAAGCTAGCTAGACAAATAGAACCTTTTACTTTGTCCCGATTAGAACCTCTAACTTCATGTCATCCAGCTAACTCTGGACAGAAACACTTACTTCATTTGATTAAGCAAGCTGGACAACAAGAACCACTATAATATTACATAATTAAGTAAGCTGGATATATACTTAATGTAAGCTAGCTGGACAATAAGAACCACTTACCTTATGTAAGCCAACTGAACAACAAGGACCATTTTATGCAATTTAAAGCTAGCTAGATAATAAGAACCACTTACATTATGTAATTAAGCTGGCTGGGCAATAAGAACCACTACATTTATGCAATTAAGCAACATGAACAATTAGAACCATTTTGTTATTAAGCCGGTTGGACAATTAGGACCAGTAATCTTAAATCATGATGGACAATTTCCATTTCATGTAATTAAGCTAGCTGAACAATTAGGCCTACCACTAACTAAGTGTGATTAAGCTAGTTGGACAATATTGACCGGCTACTTCATATATATATATATAAGTAAGCTAGCTTACATAATATAATTTGATATTAGAAAATAAGCGGAACATAATAGATATACAAATATAATATATCTGATACCAAGTCTGGTGTGTTACTGCCACATATTCTTCACCTTCATACAAATCAATGAGTATTAAATTCTATTTGAAAGACCCTGTTGGATCATTGCAAAATTGAATTGTGGGTTATATTGCAACACTACTATGCTTTTTTTAATTTGGATGGAATATAAATTTGATGAATACAAAAAATCCATTTGTATTTGATGATCTGTAGTCAATATATGAATTATTGTAGCGCCCATGTTCTTTCGGGCGTTTCATTTTCTTTCGACCTTAAAAGTATCTTTGGGTTAGATATTTAGAACAACAACAACATTAAAGCAGAAAATTAATATTATTCAACAAAACTATGATTTTAGTGTAAAACGACTCTGTTGTCTATGAATAAGAGGTCGGTAATCTGAAATTATATTGAATTAATTGTATTACACTTATTTCATTGCAAATTTAATCATCAAATGCACAGGTATGCACGTTTTAGACTCCAATACGTTTCGACCTCAAAACTATTCATCCTCACAGATGCTAGGGCCAAGGGGGTCAGATCCTGCCCCCCCCCCCCCCAACGTGATACACTGCTGTAAACTCTGTAGCATAAATCTGTAAACATATAAACACGAATGGTTTATCTTTTACAATGATTAAACTGGTTGTGAGTCACGTACAGCTAGCCAAAACACACTGTATTGGCTAGCCGTACGTGGCACTTTTGAGAATCAAATCAGTGTTGATGATTAATGCGTTATTTTATGCACATATACTGATATTTGTCAAAGAAACAATATCAATTTCGAATGTTTACTTTTTTTATTTTTTCGACCATTTTGATAACAAAATATACGAACCAACTAAAATCATTATTTGTGCTCTTATGCATCTTTACAGTATGTGCTTAAATGCATCTTTTTAAATGTTTTTTTTATTTTTTCGATAATTGAAACAATATGTATATTGTCGATATATAAAGTTGTACAGACCTTGAAAATGCGCCGAAAATAATTGTTAAAGGGTTCTGCTACTTGCCTCAATTACTGACAGTGGACAATATGAAAGTTTGCATCTTCTGTGAAACCCTAATTATCTAATTTTATCATATTGATAATCACTTTAGTTAAGCTATTTTGCCTAGATTATTGCGAATAACTTATATATCTGTTATTCTTTATTAACAACTAACAATAATAATTAGCTTTGTTTACAAAATATCTTTATTGATAACTTAGAATACATACAGTACAAAATTATAGGAAAAGTGAGAGTTCTATATTATGTTCAAGATAATATTAATTAGCTTTGTTTACAAAATATCTTTATTGATAACTTAGAATACATACAGTACAAAATTATAGGAAAAGTGAGAGTTCTATATTATGTTCAAGATAATATCAATCGCTTAATCAAATGTACAAATGACAAATAGAAACAAAATAATCTAAACAATTGTCTATTTTAACAAATCAGTCTTTTAACATGTGCAAGCAATGAATAACACATCACCGATCAATGAAAAATGAAGATGACAAAGGTTTTTTTTAATTTAAATTTGAAGTTTGATTTCTTTCAAACAAAATGTACGAACATATAAAAAAGTAAACTTTAGAAATTAATATTGTTTCTTTGACAAATCTCTGTTTATTGGAATAAAATAACGCATTCATGTTCACATTGATTTGATTCTGAAAAGCGCTGTACGGCTAGCCTTTACAGTGTGTCCTGGCTAGCTGTACGTGACTCACATACGGCTAGCCAAAAGTTCTAGCCGTACGGGCCCGTACGGCTAGCCACTTCCTTTCACAAACCTCTACCATCAAGTTTCAAATAGGAGTAAAGATTACTAAGCTCAGTGTTTTTTTTCTTTATATAACTATTACCCTAAAACGGTACTGTTCCCAATAGAAAATTCCCACAAGGCCAACTGATTTCTCTGAAATCATTTAAATCCAACATATTCATATAAATTACCACTCAATAGTTCTACCTGGACAGTGGAAGCTGTTAGCTATCTTTATTCATGATGACTAATCTTATTTGTAGCTGAAAGAATGCATAAAAAAATTCCCAATTTAAGTCAAAATAACGCATTTTGTCCCAATCAGTCTGGTACCGGCACCATTCCCAAAGTAGAGGAAAAAATCGCTGAAGCTTACCTTATGTTTGTGCTCTTATTTCGCTTTTTGAGCAGGGACTCACACTCTTATCACAACTAAACTTGTAGCAAAATCATCAAGTTCCAGGAGACCCAATCTGCCCACCAAATTCAAAAAGTTAGAATTCATTATATAGAATAGGAAAGTGTGGAAAACTAATTAAACCACAACACTGTGTATCTTGGTAATACTTTTATTACACATAAAATATCTTTTAAATGAGTGCTTGAAAAAATATCTTTTAAATGAGTCCTTGAAGGCAGCTAGCACACGGTGAAATTATGATTATGATACAATGAGCAAGTAGTCGAAAGAGAGTATGTACACCGTTTGTGTACCAGCTTTATAAGCACTCAATGTAGAACTGGGAACTCCTCTTATATTGCTTGATCAGGACGCAAAATTCACTTTTGATTTAAATAAATATTGATTTTGATATATAAATGTTTATACTGATTGATCTGGAAGATAATTTGATAATCTTTTGATTTACACCAGAAAAGTCTGATCCCAAAACATTTGTGTTCATCTTATGTCATGTGGGGAATGAGGGACATGATTTCACAATTTGACTAGCACGTCTTAAAGTGTACAAAGCTATATATCTGATTATTGTTTGAATTTTAAAAAAGTAACTTCCAAAATGCTTACAAGTATGAAATTAATATGGTAGTTTATGCCTTAAAAACGAATGGTGTATATTACTATATACATGCACAAAATCATTGCTAAACAGATAAAACCTTACTTATAATAGCAAAAAATATTTTGTTCCGGAACATTTTATTCTGTTTATGTACATTATTCATGTGTATTAAATGACAGAGACATTCTATCAGGGTTGTCATTAAGAGGCGGCTGGAGGCCAAACTGACTGTCTCAAATGTATTTTGGGTTGCCTCAAAACCAACAAAACACTCTTTGTCATATATAATGAAATCAAAAATGACCGCCTCAAAGTCAAAACTAACCTTCTTCAACAAGTCTTAATGACATCCCTGTCTATGTTTCAACTCTTTTGGGAATCAACCATATTATAATGGAACCAATATAATTTTACTGCTGCTAAATTTTATTAAAAAATTTCATAAGATATAGATCTATACCCTTTAAAGAGCAAATCTTGAAATCTGTCACACAAATAAATAACCTTTAAAATGGTTTAGAAACAGTTGCATGAGGTCAGGTGTTATTTACATGTATTACAGTAAGATATTCAATTCTCGACAAGTAGCTTTTCAAACATGTAAAAATTATAGCTTAATGACTCCAACACGGGTCCCAAAAAGTTATACTTTGCAATTTGTATAGTGATAACAATTGCAGCTTCACACCTGATGTCTTGTTGGGGGAAAAATGGGCACACCTACACCATGTGTAGTAGTACTAGTACGCTAGTTACTTAATGTTAAATGCAAATGTTATGTTTTGTAGCCTTCATTAGTGCATAAACATAAATTAGGTCTAGAATCATTTCATACTTTTTTTAGATATTTTTGAGCATATTATAGTGAGGCATGTCCAAAATGTTACATATAGCAAACCAAAACAAAAGATAGTCAAGACACTAAAATAAAGGTGGACTTGCCCTTTATATATAAAGCATTTAAATTTTATTCAGATTTATGCTTGGTTTCACTGCTAATGAGACAAGAATAAATGGTTAAAAAAAAAAACTGCATTTGTTAGTTACAGTATCGGAGTGCATTGTTTTACAAATTAAACTAAGTTATAATGTAAATGTGCTTTAATGAACATCTTTGAAAATTCAAGTATTGTTTTAACCTTTTACCCCATGAGCATATTGCGAAAAATGGCCGTTTACATTGAAAAGCCTCCTGTAACAAGTTCAAACTGCTATGAAACTGTGAAAAATGCTTCAATACTAATGAAACTTGGCACAAATGTTGACTACACTATAGCCTCTGTAACAGCATGCTCAATAGTAAATTTCCTGTTACCATGGCAACGAGGGGACGTCTCAAAATTGCCAAAAATCACTATTTTGCATTGTTTTTTTCCATCAAAACTGATTTCAAAGTGCTGCAACTTCTCAATGAATTGAGATAGAGTAAAAGGCTTTTCAGCGTCGGTTACTAGTTACCCTAAGATCGACCTGAGGCCATTTTTAGCCTGTCACATGTCCAAAATGTTCTTGGAGATGAGGTGGACTTCGCCCCCCTTCAAACCCCCCTAACAGAAGGGGGCACATCCCCCTTCTGGCAACCCCCTGATGTCATATTTGGATGGGGGACGGCGCCGAAAAGTGGTCACTTTTTTTAACAACATTTTTCAAACGAAAAACAGTGTTTGGGGCTTAAATAGGGCATTTTTTCACTGTTTGAGGCCTCAAAAGGGGGGGGCAAAAAGCCGTCGAAACACGCTTATATAGGGAAAAGGTTAAGAAGAAATAACATTAACTTATGTACCTGTATACATCAACTAATTACAAATAGTTGCACAACATTGCTCTTGCTTTTTGTTATAAGTTATTTCAAGTTTTACATTTAAATTGTGTTTTTTGGTCAAAATACCAAAAATTTTGAGAACACTAATTTTAAAATTTAGTTATTACTGATTAGTGATTTAGATTTATAATGCTGGCATGAAGTTTTTCTTAATCATACACAATTCTTGTGCGTACCTTACCAAAATGTCACTAAAATGATTTTATCAATGATATGTTAATTGAGTGTGGTTAAACATTATATTACAATTTGTATTTTTGAGTATACACTGAATATCATATTTGTGAAACTGGAATTAAGTGTCGAGTTAGCACCAGGACCAAGTGTATGTTGTCGATTTATTTATTTCTACATTTAGCTTTATTTTGAATTTTTGACATCAAAGGTATCAAATTTATATCAATGAGGTATTAAATTGTAAATTGATATAGTTTTTTTATCTAATATATTGTTCTCTCTATTTCAGACTTGTGATGTTAAACTACATGTCTTACAGCACAGCTGCATGACTTCATTTGCATTATTCTGCAGTACGTGGTCATTGTTGAAGAAAGATTTGTTTACTACTATAAGTAAAAAAAAAAAAGAGACGGAAAAGACATTGCTGCTGGGAAAAAAGAAAGAAAATAAAACAACAAGTTACCAAGATGTGCCTTAAAGTGAAAAACAAGTACACATATTTAAGCATGTGTTCTTCCTGTAATGCAGTTTCGAAATTCTCTTCCATAGTGAAGAAACATTTACTAAAACAGCATAAAAAATTGCCAGAAACTTCAGTAATTCCCATTAGAATTGAGAACAAGTTCGAGAGAAAAGTTAACAAGACACTTGATACAGCAAATGCGAAAGAAAGTTTTATGAAAAAGAAGAGGAATCCTTTAGTTGAACTTAAGAAAAATTATTCCAAAAAAGGTACCAGAAGAAATATTGAAAGTAGAGGAAAAGTAAATAAAAGAGAAATTAGTAGATGTAGCAAAGACACTGTAAAATGTGCAGGTTGTGATGAAATGTTCAATGACTGCATAAAGTATATATACCATTTAGTCACTACACATAGCAACTATAATATCAAAGTTAGTTTTAAATGTGTATATTGTCATTACACTATCCAATATGTCAAGGATATACAAAAACATTTTGAAAAGAAACATAACTGTAATAAAGCACAATTACCACTCATTGACTGCATAAATATTGAAATAGCTCAAGAAGAGGATCTTCCAAGCCAGAATCATTGTCCATATTGTGATTTAGATTTTGACAAAGTTCATAACCTTAATAATCATGTAAGAGATACACATCAAGACAATATTGAGAATTTGTTAATTCCAAAACAGGATCCAGAGGTAGCTGAGAACCAGTCACAACAAGAGAATGATCTTCTCATTGTGTTCCGTTGCCCGTCTTGTCCAGAATCATTTCACACTATGCTAGACATTTGTGAGCATATTAAAGCAAGGCATGCACCAAATATTGCATATAGCAAACCAAAGCGAAAGAGGAAACAACCAAAGTGGATGGAAGATGATTTTGAGGAAATACCTGTCAAAAAACCAAACAACATCAATTCTGATAAAGATTCTCAAAAGTTACTTGCATCTGGTAAAATGGTGAAAAAATGTACCAAAGGAGTTTCTGAAAGAAAATGTGCATATTGTAATCATGTTGCTAAAACTGAAAAGGCCTTGGCAAAGCATTTTAGTGTGTTTCATCCAGACCAAAAGTTAAAAGCACCAAGGACAGATGCAAAAGCAAAAGAAACTCCTGACACAGAACAAGTACTGATAGATGATAAAAACTCAATATCAAAAAATAGCCATCCTTTAACTGTTGATATGTTGACTTTTGACAGAGATGCTGAAAGCGCAATATCTGAAAATTCAGATGGTAAGCTAGGTACTAGAAATATTGTAGACATAGAGAATGGTGTTGATGACAAGGACAGTGAAAGTTTTGGAGATTCCGATGATGATTTTGTGCCAGATAACAGTGATACAGATTCTGAGGTATCAGTTACAGAAGATGGTATTGATACTGAAGAAAGGTTAAGAAAAGTAAAAGGTCGGCATGTAAAAAGGTCTGTAAATGAGCAATATAAAGGGACAGCAGTCAGTAAAAAATTCACAGTTAGGTATGAATGTCCTTTCTGTGGATTAAACCTTCACAATTATGAATACATTAGGTACCATGTGGTTCAGTGTCATCCTGAAATAACAAACTTTAAAGTTAATACTAAAGAGATGGTCAAAACAAAATTGATTGATGGAGATAACTGGGAATCTTTCAAATGTCCAAACCCAAAATGTGATGTTGCATACAAAAAGAAACAATCATTGATAGATCATATGGCTACTTGTGAAAGAGGAAAGTTCAGAAAAGAAAAAATAGTGTGTACCTTGCCGAGAGCCTGGATGGAAAAATTTGAGAAGTCAGTAAGTGTGATATGTCCATACTGTCAATCAGTCAAAATAGGTAAAACTAATCTTGAAAAGCATTTACAGGAGCATTATCCAGATAAAGTATTTGAAATTGAACTTAACAACACATTATCATCACAGCAAATAAAGACAGATAAATGGTCAGAGTTAGAATGTGTGATGTGTCCGTATTGTGATGTTGTCGCGACAAAAAAGATCCAGTTAAGCAAACATATCAAACGATTCCATTCCAATGAAATATGCACTAATGTGGTATCCTGTATACTAGTCAACAAAAGTGCCAGCAAAGACAAAGCCAGGTTGATTATTAAAGATATTGAAAACTTGTCTTTAGCAAGAAAGAAAAATGAACTTTCAGAAACACCAGAAACTTTGGGTAGAATAGAAGAAAATACTGTAGAAAAAAGTATTGAACATGCTACTATGCGTACAATAGAAATTGACAAAAATACTGAATCTGTTAGTCTAAATGAAGTGGTTAATGATTCATGTGGAGAACAGTTAGAACATACCAATAGTATACCCTCTGCGAGACACAGAGATAGTGAAGAACTTCAAGGAGGGAAAGAACTTTATGAAATAATATTTATTCAGTCAGCTATACCATGTGGAATGTATATATGTCCAGTTTGTGAATTTAAAACAGGTATAAAGAAAGAAATTAAATCTCATATGAATGAACATAATAGTAAATGCCATGGAGATATAGACTCCATTTACACAATCCCAGATTCTTGGATCAGGATGGACAAGGACGATAGCCATCCATTTCAGTGCCAATTATGTGATCATAAGGATGTGAATCTGACCTTTGCATTCAGGCATGTTCTTAACAATCACAAGGATATCACTGTCAATGAACCACATTCAAATCCCCATATTTCGGAATCGCTGTTCGAGATCCTGAATGTAGAGGTTGAAGGTGTGAAAGAAAAGTATGAGAAAGAGAAGTATCGTTGTACTGCATGTGTACCTGGACATATATTCAGATCAAAGAACGGACTTCAGCGCCATTTGAAAACACGCCATACAGACAGTGACTCCATCATTGCATATGAAACCATGTACAAAATGTTAGATCTTATATCAGATTCATGTAAGTACCTTACTGGCTGTAAAACTTTTACTGATACATATTTATAGCATTTTATACTTGTTTATTTAAATCATTTTGAAAGTAAGCTTTTTGTGTTGTTCATTAAAGATGATATGTTTAAAATAATTAATTGTCACAGTTATGAATACCTGACAAAAAACCTTTACGTTTATTAGCCGTAAAAGATTTAGCTGGCCTTTTCTATTCAATGCTAGGTCAGTTACTCAGCAACAGTATCACAAACCAAACTATATGTTCTTTTGTGTAAACCAGGTCAACCAATGGCTAATAATTAAGGGAAGCAATTGCAAATTAGATAGTCAATAAGTCATTCATCCAATTTGCATATATAAATGAATATTTAATATTGAATACTGGATATGAATGCATATGAATATGTTTACTTGTTTAGTCTTCTGTGTTGTTTAATTTTCATAGGGTTTGTAAGTAAATGTATGTTTTCTCTCATGAATTTTCCTGTTTTTGTTTTTGTTTTAATTATAAGTCGATGTAAGTTTACAACTTGCATTGTATAATTGTCTATAACCAGAAAATTTTGCTTTGTCATGTCATTTAAGGTGTCAGATGCATTATGTTGTTGTTTGAAATAATTTTAAGAAATTTTGTTTATAATTTTAGGTAACACTCGTCAAATAATTATTTGTCTATTGTGCAAGAAGGAATTATGGGACTTTTCTGATCTTGAAAAGCATTTTAATCAGAATCATCCTGAAAAGCTGAATGAGTTGTTGTACAAGCTGAACAAATCATCAGATGACACACATGGTATTGTTACATTTATGAAATATATATACAAATGTACATATATAGCTGAAATTCGTAAAAAACAGATATACCGATAGTTAATTTATTTTAACATTAGGGAACACAAAAGTTAATCTATTTTAACATTAGCGAAACAAAGAAAACTTTGTCAGATTGTTGGTATTGCAAATTGGGCAGGCCTTTAGGCAACTAAAACCGCCTTTGTGGTTGAGGGGTTGGAGTCGATGACTGCTAATCCAGTTACCTCTCTGTCGTGGGTTCGATCCCAGGGAGATGCTTTGGTAGTTTAGCGCAGAGGAAGGTAGTCTAGTACTGGTGTAACTCTCAAAGAAAGATAGTTAGGAAACTACCCGCCTATATGACTGAAATACTGTTGGGAAAAGGTGTAAAATGAAACTAACAAACAAACAATTAGTCAACTAGGCATATACAATGCCTGCAAATTAGGCAGATGTCAAGGGATTTCATCCAAACTTCAAATAAGGTTACTATCATCTAGTACCGTTGTGCATATTAAAATACCGTAGTTCTTTGATTTTTGTCCTTGTCAGCGCACTTATGGCACTTCTTTTCAAATGTGTTACATGCCGCTTCAAATCAGTGTCCATATCAAAACAGTGAAAGTGACTATTGGGTCATCTGTGTCCAATAGACACATTTATAGTGACTATTGTAAATACTTATCTTCCAGATAAAACTTGATGACTTTAATAAACTTGTTTGTTTGAACATTCCTAGGTTCGCCGACTGTATCATCAACTTGTGAAGTTTGTTGTAAGCAGTTTATGGATGAGAAAAGTCTCAAACATCACCTTATTCTACATATGAACAAATATAAACCAACCTGTACTCTCTGTAATATATGCTTCACCAATCATCCCGAGCTGGAATGCCACAACATGGAGGTCCATGCTAAAGCAGGCGAGATGTGCTATATATGCGGTGTTACGTAAGTTTGTGCAGTTATTAAATAGAGTATAACTCAGGTAGATTTGAAACTCATAAAAGCTGTTATCTTATACCATCCAGCTCAGGTTTTAAATGGAAATTTAAAGGTTCAGCATGACTAATGAACTTGAATGAACTTGAATAAGAAAAACTACTTATGAAAACATTGTACTGGTCTACAGAAGCATATCATGAGACTGTAAATCCCTAATTTCTATCTTTTGCTATTTATTATTCCAAAAACCTATTGATTGTATATATTTATATGTATTAATTTATTAGCAATGAAATATGATCAGACTAAATAAAGCTATCTTAATTCATCCTTTTGGTCACATTTTGGTTAAATTATTTTCTTTTCTTGTTTAATTTAATCAAAGTTGAACATATTTTCAGGTTTTCCAGTGTTGCGAAACTTGATCGACATTTAAAATGGCATGAGACTGGAGAATGTTCTTCTATAAAAGCATTGTGCCAGTATTGTGGTACAACTTTAATGGGCAAAAATATGAAAAAACATCTTGTAGACAAACATATTAATGAGATCACATGTGCATGTAACATTTGCACAACACAAAATGTTCCTGATGGGAAAAGGAGTGTCAAGTGTGACCAGTGCAAGGCAGTTTTCTGTACGTGGTATGTACTGAGGGCTCATCAGTATAAGGAGCATGATGTGAGGAATGGGAAGCCATTCAAGTGTAGAAGTTGTTATACAACTTTTCTTAGTAGACGCGAACAGACGCTTCATTCTCACAATTGTGGAAAACTTGGTGATTCAGTGCAGACTAACTTTGATTTGGTTAACGAGGATTCTGCTGCTAACTACGGGAATGTTACTGAGATCACAGTATCTGAGCAGGCAAACATTGATTTTAATCTTGGTTTAGCATATGTTAAGCAAGAATACATCTCTGTGGACAAGCAGTCAGAGCAACCCTATAGCTGTAAATTATGCGGAAAGGGATTTACAAAAATGCGTTACATTTGTAATCATTTGAGACGGATGCATACGAGAGACGAAACAAAACGATTTCGGTGTAAAATTTGTAAGATGGGATTCAATAATAAACAGGACTTTGGGAAACATTGTCGCTCTCATATAGGTCTGCGGCAGTACCAGTGTAAAGTATGCCTGAAAATGTATAAAACAGCAGCACATTTAAAGGAACATTCTGAAATTCATACACAGCAGACTTACACTTGTGAGTACTGTGGATTAGAATTTAAGCAACGTGGAGCACTATTAGCTCATGTTGTTCATCATGACAAAGTCAAACCTTTAAAATGCCTATATTGTAATAAAGGATACACAACCCATGGTGATCTTCAGAGACATATGAATTCTTACTCAAAATCCGCAAAGGTCTTGGGTGCAAAGCAGCTTACATTTTGTAACTATTGCTCAAAAGATTTTCCAAATCATATTTCTCTTGTCAAACATTTTCAGATCCATCTCCCTGTTAATCCATTCCAGTGCTCAGTTTGTCAAAGTAAATTTGCCACTTTTAGGGAGATGTATAATCATAAGTCAAGGAAAGAGCATTTTACAGATTTGGACAAGGAGGAGGGTAAGCAGGACCTACATGCACCGGGTAATAGATTCCGTAGATATCAAGTTTCTAAGTCTAAAAAGGAAATTTCAAAGACAAATAAAATTTCAATGATGGAGGATCCTGTTGGGGATAATGCACTCAGCGTTATAACTGATGATGAAAACATTATTGAGATTGAGATAGGTAGTTCAGTAGCTGAATGTGATGACAGGGCAAAAACTGTTATACAAATGTTTGAGAATGATGTTATTAAAAGCATGCTTGATGCTGATCCAGAAATTTTGGAAACTGTTGAATTTCACGATACAGACAGTGGTGCTAGGAAAGATAAGCAATTGCGGGTTTATAGTGATCAAAACAGCATACCACAGGGATATCAGTTTGAAATGCAAGAAGGAAATAGCTACCAAACTAACACAATAGAAATGCAAGATATGTACGTAACTGTTAGACACGATGCATACAGTGACAATAATATTACATCTGCAGATAAACCGATTGTCGACAGTCCGGAGAAGCTGGCAAGTATTCAGCAGCCAGAAACAGTTCCGGGTAAAACGCAAACATTTCAATCATCTGATGGCTCTATTATTCATGTTTGTGTTATAAACCCTGACAAATAAAAAGGTTTCCTTTAAATTGTAAAAACAATACATGTACACTTTTGTCATTTCCATTCAATGATTAAATAGCTGTTCATATTGTTTTTATCCTGCATGTTTGTCTCTCATCAAACAGCTTTAATATTGGTCATAACTTGTTCTTTCTGTAAGCTAGAATCTTCATACTTTTTAAATCCATATATAAATACTATCATTGACCTCTTAAAGCAGCATGCCTCCAGATTCATGCTTATTTTCATGAAAAATTTTAAAAAGGTATTTACAAGTAAAATACAGTGAAATGAACAAAGAAAGTATTTAGCCATTGCAAATTGCACTTACAATCCATGAAAATTACCTAAAAAGAGGTCAAAATGTGTAAAAATAGCCATTATTGTGTGTCACACAGTAGAAACATGTTGATAAATTCTCCAAAATCAGTCATTAATCACACATAACTTGTAAATTTTTAATCTTATATCTTTTGACTTTTCTTAAAATCTTAGAACATTTTTCTCAAGTTTGACTTTCTTGATATATTTTTGGCTCATCTAGTGTCATGCAGCTTTAATGACATTGATCTTCAAGGACAAATTCTCTAGATTTTTGAGTTTTATGACTTGTTAAGGGAATGTTTTATAAAAAAAAGAAATAGAGGTATTGTTACAGTCATTTAGGCATTTCCAATGCGATTGCATCCCCAAATTTTATCTTGATCATAACTTTTAAGTTTTTGGTGTTTTGTCTTCATACTTGGCCACAACAACCCTTGGGACAAGACTTTTTAGTAGACCAGACTAACCTTCGACCTTATTCATAAATGACTTTGACCTTCATTAGACATGTGGAATGTAAATATGACCTTACCCTTTAAATGACCTTGACAGTCAAATGATCAAATTTTAATTATATTTTCTTAACTTTGTCATTTATTTATGGAAAGGATTCATACTTGGACAAAACAATAAGTGTGACTATACAGACCTATTAAAATTAAGAAATCAAAAACATTTTTTTTTTCTTTTTCTTTTTAAAAAAATTTGTTTAAACTGTTTGAATAGCGAGTCTAGCGCTGGCCCTGCCTGATGGTGGCTCTTGTTTTGTTTTACCAACATATCTTATTTTTCTTCTGTTGTGCTAAAGAAGGTCGAATTTTAGGATTATGAACTACATTGTAAAATTTTGCCAATTCTCAGAATGTCATTTCAGGATATCACAAGTAAAACAAAAACAAAAATTTGGTTTATTATAAATCATGCTATATCTACATGTAAATGAGAAAATATTCATATTTTCACTTTATTTAATTACTTGTGTGTAATTGTTGTAGTTTCCTTACATGCCTTATGTGAATAATATATAGCATGTTCACAAGAAGTCACAAAAACAAATATTCTCAAGATTTCAAGATTTGATTTATACATTAGGCATATACATATCAATGTTCAAAAGAAAAGGACAAATACAAATAACATAACAGTCAATCCAAAATTCAAAAATGCAGGACTGCCAACCTACTTTTATACATTGTAATTGTAATACAAATTAAAGACTTTTATTGTTATTATGAATATTAATATCTCTAAAAAAAGTATTTTTACAATATCCATAATAGTTTTACAAAATAATGCTGATAATATTATTCAAATTTTAGAACTCTTACTACATATAGCAATAACAGCAAGGGTATCAGAGAGTTGGAGTATTTAATATCACAATGAAATTATTTCACAATGTCCATAATAGTATTGATATTAATACATGTAATGGCTAATTTGGTAAATTTTGCTTTGTTCTTACAATTCATAAGACCAATTATACTTATGATATCAATATGTGCCGCGTCATGACAAAACCAACATAATGCGTTTGTGACCAGCATGGATCCAGACCAGCCTGCGCACCCGCGCAGTCTGATCAGGATCCATGCTGTTTGCTTACAAACCCTACAAGTAGAGAAACTGATAGCGAACAGCATGGATCCTGATTAGACTGCGCGGATGTGCAGGCTGGTCTGGATCAATGCTGGTCGCAAACCCATTATGTTGGTTTTGTCATGAGGCGGCTCATATATGTTTTACTGTTACAATTAAATCAATGCATTTAGAATACATGTATATGGATAGTATTTAAATGGACCATATATGATTTACTGTTTATTGCTATTGTTTGAAAAGAGTTACTCTGTTTTATCTTGTTCAATTTAACTTTGATACAGAATAAAGATTTCTCTATTTATTTCATAGCATGTTAATTGTTGGAATAAATAGTTTAAAAAGTTGTAAAATTTATTATTATTATTACTACTGCTACTATTATTATAAGCTTATATAATATTGTCAGAAACATGCATTGTAAATTAACAAACAAACAAAAACTGATGCAACATGTTTACCCTTTACCATGCTAAATATCTGAATGTGGGCAAACCATTCATAATTTCTAGATATATTCAGACTTAATAGCGGACAGTGCAGACCAAGATGTAATGGCATTAAATTAATATCCAGACTGATCTTGTTGTCACATAGTATATGTACAATATACATGCATTCAATTGCAGCTAGCAGACTAAGAGTAAATATTAATTTTTCCATGAAGTTAGATAAGAAAAAGTACTCAAAAGATATGTAAAATACAAGATCTACCTTTTTATACGCCTGTTTGAAAAACAGGTCGTATTATAGTTTCCCTCCTCGCAGGCAGCTGGACGGGGGGCTTTCGATTTTTGTCCAGAGCATATCTCCTACACCCATGGAGGAATTTTAATGAAAACTTCATAGAAATCTTCACCACTATGAGAAGCCATGTAGTGGGCATGAACCAGGCCTCTAGGTCAAAGGTTAAGGTCACACTTAGAGGTCATTGAAAAATGCTTGTCCGGAGCGAAACTTCTCCATGCATAGAGGGAACTTGACACATATGTTCATTATTGTGAGGTGGAGTGTCGAGCGCAAAATATAGGTCCCTGTGGCTAAGATCAAGGTCACACTTAGGGGTCAAAGTTCAGATAAAAAAATCACTAGAGATGATAATATATCCAGATATTTTCCAGATATTGCCTGGCAGAGCATATCTCCTATATGCATATCTATAATGCCCACATCTCTGTCAAAAGCTTCTGTGAAGGGAGTATATTGCGACAAAGTTGCCCTTGTTGAGTTATTGCATTTTCTATACACTAGTTTGAAGGAGTGAACATGGCTGGCTGGCCGGCAGCACCTAATTATGTCCAGAGCAGGTCTTCAACCTGCAAAGAAGGTATTTAGTATTCAGGGTATTGCTTATAATATTACATTAATGTTCACAATCCTGAGTCATTGTATATAGCTCACATGAACCAAGTTCATAGGTCAAAGGGAAAAGCTTTTCATTGGAGTAAAATTTCTACATGTATGTAGGTATTTGAATTTCACTTAGAATAAAATTTAATATTCACCATTGTTAGGTGAAGTGACCTGTACAAAATTCAGGTGCATGTGGTCAAGGTCACATATTGAGTTCAAAGGTCAGATAAAAGTATGAAAATGTTTTTACGGATCATTGAGTATTTATGATAGGAGGAAATCAGTATCATGAATGTTCACCATCATGAAACTGAGCATTACCCGAAAAAATAAAAAGTCCTTAATATGCAAGGTCAAAGTAAATATAAATGATGAATTGTCCAGATTTTGCCCTGAGATATCTCCTTCATGCATATAAGGATTTTAGCATTACGTTATAGAATTGTTCATCATATCATAAGACATGTCACTTAAAGCAGGCCAGAGGAAAAGTTTTGTCTGGAGGATTATTTACATGCACTGAGGTATATTTAATATAACTCGTTACAAATGCGAAATTCATGGCCCTGTGGTCTTGGTCATAATGTAAAGCTCAAAGGTCATATACGAAAATGTTTACAGACCATAAATTTTAAAAATCATGGACAAAGCGATTTTTACAGAAAAGTTCATTATTATGAGACTGAGCATTAAATATCTACATGTATAATCCAGGTCCATATTATTTCATGCAAGGTCAAGGTCTCTCATTAAAATTATTATACAAAGAATACATTAACACATGAACTTATAAGCCTAGTGTTAAAATATGTGTATGTAGTCTAACCAAGTTGGACAAATTATTACCCGCAATGGGTGAAATATATAAACATTACCAGTGAGTTAAGTTGTTTTGGAGGGGTATAGAGTTGAAATTAATATTGAAGAAGAATATATAATAATTATGCTTTACAAAAATGCATTTCACTCTTTTTTGAAATAGTAGTATCTTAGGGTCAAAACTAATTCCACTTGTCCTATTAAGAAAGGGAGGTAACAAATATTTTTTCCAAGTTTCTGGATAAAAGCTAAAGGAGGATATTTTTTTTTACTAATATGGTATTAATTTTATGAAATAAGTAGTATTTATGGTGAAATAATTGTTGAGATGATGCAAAATGGTGGAGTATTGTCCGTTTAAATAGATAAGTAAGAAATATTTATTAATGGAATTATTAAATTTGCTTAATGTCCCAGGGCACCATGAAAAGGCCATCATATTGTTCCACTGATTTTTACATATGATAATTGTATAGAAAATCGTGATGGAAACATTATAAAATCAATGTAGCTATCGCGCGAGGCGACTGCAATCTTATAGATTTATCCGGGCCGTTTTTTGCGTCCAACTTTATTACGGTACGTAACGGGTTTTAATCAGATACTGCACAGGAAGCGCCTATTGATTTGGAAGAGGAAACAAATCTGCCTTGTGGGTTTTCTTTTAATCTTTGTCGAAGTATCTCTTTTAGTTTCATTTTACAGACAAATCATTTATGATAATTATAAATTTTGATTATATCCCAAATTGCACCAAAATGTAGAGCAATGTAATGAAAGATATTTGGTTGTGGGCAGCTTCGTTTTGACGAATCCGGGTCAACTCGGCCCTATATCAACTCGTGCCATAATTATATATTACTGGTCAAGATTACTTTTTGTGTATTTTCATCATAACTTTCATTGTCGTAACAGACCCAAGGAGTTTTTTTTACTGCTGCATCGCCACAACTCAAGAAAACGACAACATTCACGATTTCGAAAACCTAGCTAAACGCCGTTTTCCGGTACATTCTGTACATAGCTCTGGTGAAGTGTAATAACGAACTCAATGTTTTTGATCTTTTATTTTTTAATTAAAGAGACATAAAACAGTTATTATTTTGTAAGAAAATAATTAGATATAATAGTGTGAATAATTTCATACAAAAATTATTAAAAGTAATGTTTTAATTTTATTGATATTCATTTCAAACAATTTATTTTTTGAAAAAAATGCAACAAATAGTACTGGTTGGAGAGATAACTCCGACACTAAATCACATATTTTTTGCAATATTTTAATTACGTTCCAGTATATTTTAAATATTGAACCACCTAAACAAAGTTCAGTTCAAAGACTTTACATTACACCACAAAAACTATGTATGAAAATGGAATCTGGTACTTCTTTAAGGTCTTGAATGAGGTATACAAAACATGGTCTTTTTACCCCACAACAGTAGATAAAGTCGACACTTATATATTTAAGTAAAAATGGCTGGAAAATCAGCATCAATAATTTATTTTTACATCTTATATGGTTTATCTATTTTTTGTAAATATTTAAACAATTTTTCAAAAATCTTTCCCAAGTCAGTGGCCTGTGGTCAATACATTTCTAACTACCTTACTGTAATTTAGTAAAAAGAACGTTTTGAAGCAGTTTTTGCTTACAAATGTTTAGGTTATTTGAAAAACATTAAAAAAAGATTCCAAATTATAACAAATCATCACATTCTGTCCTGTTCCTATACTGTTAGGTGATCATGTGCTTATTTGTTGAAAAACAAAGCTAAAACAATTATATTTATCAAGTGTCGGGGTTATCTATGCGTCGGAGTTATCTCTCCGACCAGTAAAGGAACATTGGTAATTTTCAAACACATCAAGTTTTTTCACCTTGAACAGCAAAATAATGATAGAAAAATAGAAATATCATGTTATAGTGTCATGTAGCCCGGGGTTCTATGATATCAAGGTACTTAACGTTTGTAAGAAAAATTTTGTTTGGAAAATATTTAAATATAAATATCATAAATGAATAAGATTTTTCTTCCATCTTATAATTGAACCTTTTCCAGAACTGTTTGTCATAAAATTATTTGAAAAGAACCAATAAAAATGACATTTTTTAGAATATTTTCAATGCCTGCCATTTTGGGTCATTTCAGAGGAGGTTACTACGGTATCAAGGTAATCCCCAAAAAAGCAGATATGGAAGAATTGATGGGTCAAAACTTTCAAGTTAAGTTGTGAAAAACTTCCAACAGTAAACTTGCTATAAACTTAAAACTATATGAACAGACTATATGTCAGTATATGTGTTTATAACATATTTTAATTGACTGTGTAAAAACCACTAAGGAAAATGGTAGTCAAATATGAAGGTTTTATATTTAATAGTTTTCTTGCCACAAATACATTCATTATTCACCAAATTAAATTTATTGGCAGATGAAAATGAATCTAGTTTGCAAGTTTTACAAATATTAGCATCACCATGTGTTGCTTTTACCAGCAGTCACAGAAAATTTAAATACCTTGATATCATAGAACCCTTGATTTCATAGGAACCGAGTATACTTCATTTGGTGTAATTCCCCAGAGCTAAATCCGTAACGGTGTTTAGCTAGGTTTTCGAAAAGGTCAATGTTCACAATTCGAAAACCTAACTAAATGCCGTTTTCCGGTACTTTCTGTACATAGCTCTGGGAAATTCACCCTAATTGAGTGTAATAGAGAACTCTATGTTTTTGGCATTTTTTTAAATTAAAGTGAAATAAAACAGTTATTTCTTTGTAAGAAAATAATTAAATATCATTTTATGAATAAATTCATGCAAATAATAAAGTAAATACAAAACTTTACACAGAAAATATCTTTATTATGGAAGATGCCACTACAACTGTTTTAATTTTATTGACTTTCATAATAAACAATTTAAACAATTTATTTTTTGAAAAATTTGCAATAGATATATAAGGAACATTGATATTTTTCAAACACATCAACTTTTTCACCTTAAACAGTAAAATAATTATAGAAATATCATGTAATTGTGTTTTGTACTTCATTTGGTGTAATGCCCCAGAGCTAAATCCGTAACATACAAACAGTGTTTAGCTAGGTTTTCGAAAAGGTCAATTAAATCAAATTTAGATTTAATAGGCCAGACATATACATGCATAGACCTGTCAACCATTTTGAAAACACAGTCATCATTTCAAACGCGGTAAATGTTGTTACACTCTAGTTTTTTCATGTTTCAATTAATTGAATTACTAAATGTAAAACTTATATTGCTCAATTTTAAATATTAAAACTATCAAACTTTGTAACCCAAATTATTTTCTTTTGTCAAACAGGAGCATTTAGAAAGTGAGGATCATTTCAGACATAGCATTGATTTTAACTTTTTCAGAAATTTGTAAAATGTTGTTTTCAAGTTTTGTTTTTTGTTTTACACAAAATCTTAATTGTTCTGTCAGTTGCATACCTAAAAAATATAAATTTTGCCTAATGTTAACACAGATCATATAGCCATTACCATTGAATAAATAATGATGTGGAATTAATGATGTTGACTATAGTATCTTGATTGTACTATCTACCAAGAATGTAATATATGTGATACAGACAATGTGTAGGATAAAATAGTTATTTACTGTAGAAGCTACCATTTTTAAGTACTTTTTTGGCTGACTCAGTCACAGTTTTATCTTTATACTATAATTATCTTTTTTTTAAAAACATATATATATATATAATATATTCATGCATTCCATAAATAAAAATTTCTATGGAAAAACAAAAAATAAAAAATAAATATCTTATGGCAAACACATTAATTTTTTTATAAGGGCACTACCGCCCATGAAAGAATATAATATGAAAGTCATGAACTGAAAATTACACATAAAAAATAGGCATGCTGCAGTCGGAATTTGATTCATGGGTCTTATAAAAATTAAAAAGTCAATTCATCAATTGTAAACACAGGCTACATTCATTTGGTACCTTATTTTCTGACAAGTTCTTGCTCAGTTACATAACAATCATCAAGTGAAACATATAGTAAAAATTGACATCACATGTAAAGTAATTTAATTCACCAAAAAAATCGTTTAGCCTCAGTCCTGTTTCATGTGTTTGTTATGTTTATTACACAGTATTACATAAACAACAATGATGTCATTTGCGAAAATTATGATGTCACTACAATATATTAAACCCATTCATTTACTGTAAAAGGGTCCAAATTCAGCACCTCAAACTTACAAAATGCAAGTCAAAATAAAAAAATGCCAGTAACTTTCTTTACACTTTCAAACTTTTACTAGCCCGGCAGTACGTATAGCAAATAGTAAATGTACATAAATTGATGTAACTTTGTAAAAAAAATTGAAATTTTTACAAAAAATGTCATCTCCAAAAAGCAATTCATATGAAAGAGCAATTGCACTATAAAAAATACAGATGATGATATCAATTCCATAAGCATCATCTGTTATATTTGTAAATATCCCAGGCTTCGCGAAAGTTGCCGGACCGTCGGACATGTCCGGCAAAAATCAGGCCGGTCCGATATTTTTTTTCGGAGTTCCGGACCTTATGTCCGGTACGAATACCGGGATATATCCAAGATCGATCAAGACCGAGTTTTCTTCCTTGAATAAAAAAATGTAAAACGAGTTTTGATTTGCCGTTTCATTATAAGTGTCCGATACATACGACTGTCAATAACCAAAATGTCGATGTTACTTCATTATTACGCTGGCGCTACGCCCAGCAAAAATCGTAAACTATCCAATGAAGAAAAAAAAGCAAAACAAAAGGAATACGAGTCCAGGCGCCCGCCGAGAAAATTTGTGGGTAAATGGAAAAATGGCCGCTTTGATCATGAATGTTTTGATTTCCAAACAGAGTCCATTCACAGGTGCTTGAAACAAACTTTTTAAAGTTTTATATGGGCTATATACTATATATCTTTATATACATATATAGACTGGTTATGTAAAATATTTGAATATATGTGACTAGCGCCTGTGAGTCCATCAATCTGGATAAACTAATGTTTTATTTAAGGGAATAAAATTGTGTTGCAAATCTTTAAAAGTTGTTATGTCTTTAAAAAAAAAAAACAAGGTATTACCATATACATATATTTGGGGGAAAAAATTCGGTCAGACAAAAGTTCTTTCGGTCAGACAAGAATTGAAAGTTTGTCTGACCGAATGTCAGGCAAATTTTTCAGCAGTTTCGCGAAGCCTGATATCCATTGAAAAAATTGCACATTCCATTAATTTTGGTTTTTCCGAGTTAGAAATTCTCGAACTCTCAAAAATTTGCAAGTGATAAAAAAATGGTAAATTCTAGCCCTGGTTACTACTTGATTCATAATTAAAAACAAAATAAAAATAGTAAATTTTTGAGCTTGATTCGAGAACTAGAAAATTGTAGAATTAAAAGGTTGATAGGCTAAAATGAGAATTAAAAAAAAGTCTGCTGTAACAGGAGGGGCTTATTTTAAACATCAGGTTATAACCGTTATAAACTGGTAAAAAAAAAAATGTTAAAAGTTAAACGATTAATATATTTCTGGAATCACTACACCTCTTGGCCAGCCTGAGTCATTCAGCAAGCCCATACTGGCCCTGCTTCATTAAATTGATAGTAAAATTTTCCTTTAAGCTACTAGAATAATGGTCCTTAATGATGTTTACAGTTTTATGCAAATTGGCTGACTCACAGTTTATAAACCAAGTCCACTTTACGTTATGGCAAGAAAGGTTCATGTTTAGATATATAGACTCCCAAGAAGGGTTCAATGATCGGAAGTATCATATGCTTGTAATCACAATGATTTTGTTTAAATACTTTGGACTGTCTAATATGCTATACATTATACATAGCTACTGGTTGACTTTATTAATTACACAAAAGAGTGCATGCCTATTTTCTATATATTTACGTAAAACTTTTGGGATTAAATGAGAAAAACCCATATTGGTCGAGTTCCGGAGTCTCTCTACTTACATTACTAACAAGTTGTCAAATACATGTACTGTTTGCATTTACTGATATGTGTAACTGCAAGTAAATGTTACATGGATTCAAACTAGGAGCAAGTGCTCTGCCTTGTTTTGGGCCAACCTATCAATGGTATCCACGAACATCAACAGTCACAAATTTGATTGTATTTAAAGTTATGCAAACATTGACATTTTTGCAAAGTTTTACATAACATTTTAAGCCTATTATAGCATTCGGCACGATATGGCCAGTTATGTGTTGACGTGCCGTAAAAATCCAAACAAACAAACAAACATATTTATAATCATAATCAGTGTTAGCGATTTTCCCTAACTTTACCGAGTACCTTGGACTCAGTGCTAAATAGATCTGTTACGTCCAAATTCAAATGGGACGAGTCCTCAATTACAAAAATGTCAGTGTTTGCATAACTTTAAATACAATCAAATTTGTGACTGTTGATGTTCGCGGATACTATTGATAGGTTGGCCCAAAACAAGGCAGAGCACTTGCTCCTAGTCTACGTTTGGGATATAAATCTGCATTGCCAATGACAAGGGAAGAAATCAAAATCCGGTGAAAGTCAAGTTCTTATAATACAATTTATTTAAAGCGAATAGACAATCGTTTTCAATCAGAGCAAAAAAACTTAAGAGAGAATTATCCAATTATCAGGGAAAAAGTGTTTCATCCCAAGGACATAACGGCCCTTTTTTTCTTTCCTCCCTGGCAATTTTAACGAGTAAATTGATATGTTTACTCAGTTAACACGAACACTGTTTATAATGTATCATTCTCTTAGTGTTAAATTTAACCAAATAAAATTAAGGTTCTGTTATGTTACATGTCAGATGCTCATTCCGGCCATACATAGTATATTACATGGATTCATCAATAACATTGCACAATTCATGCATTATTTATACATTTCTGTGTTACAGTTCTTATGAAAGTCCTCTGTCCTTTATTACAATTGACATTTATTAAATGTACAAAACAAGTTGTAGAAAGTTGTATGACTATGAAGTGACTGTGTTGTACTCTGTCTTGATATGTTCACTTTGGATATGTTCATAATTTTCTCAGTCATCATAATGTCCAACTGAACTCTATCACCTTTTAAGTAATTATTTTTAAGTTGCTTCATCCTTGTCACATCTCACCATTTATATTAATTGAATTTTCCCACAGTAATTTTTTTTTAAATTTCATATGTAATTTTTTATCTGATCTTATTACAAACATGATAAACTCCTGACTAGTGACAGTTGTTTCTTATCATTGCTTGTAACATTTGTACATCTATAAAAGCGCTTGCTGAAATAAAATATATTTTAATCAAATTCTTTTTCATTTCAGGTTCCTGTAGAGATTTACTAGAAGTTTCATCCTGAATCAGGATGCCCTGCTTGTGTAACTGGACGGTAAAGCTTGGATGTTAAGAAATTTATAACATACAATATTTCTAGAGGAATACTTTACACACTGCTTAAACATGTGTTTTCAAATAAGAAGGAAACATTACACTTATTTGAGCATGTGTTCATGCTGCCATTCTATTTCCAAGTATTCTTCAGTTGTGAAGTCTCATTTGTTACATGACCATGCCAAACATTCTTCTAAAAATGGAACAAAAGTGGTAATTCCCATAAGGATTGATAGCAAGCATGAAAAGCATTTAGCTCTTAGACTTGACAAAAAGAGCTCACTACAAAGCCAAAGAAATACAAATCACAGAAAGAAAGACACGAAAGAAAGTATCAAGACTGTACATGATGAGAGTATTTCCAAGACTTCAAACAAAAGAAATAAGACTGGTGAAAAATCAATCCTTTGCATAATTTGCAAGAAATCATTCAGTAGTTTAGTGAAATATTTTTCACATTTATCTGTAAAAGATCATGTTAATACTGAAGTTGGTTTTAGATGTACACATTGTGAGAGTCAGTTCCATAATCTAAAAGATCTTGTGCATCACAATGAAAAGGAACATTCGATGAAAAAATGTTTAAGTGTGACACAGTTTGATTGTACAAAGAGTACTGTTGATGATGTAAAACATTCAAAGCGTTCCAGTGTTCAGTGTCCATATTGTCTGAATATGTTTACTGACATCAAGAAGCTGTATCAACACATGGGAGGTAATCACTGTGATCAGATAGATTATATCAGTATAAAGTCAGAGGAAGTTGATGGAAATGAAAGCCAAGATCAGAATACTGTGGTTGTGGTTTACAAGTGTATGCATTGTAATGAATGTTTTCATGGTCTTCGTGATATAATGCAACATGTCACATACGTACATGTGCCTGTGAGACAATCAAGGAAAAGAAAAAAGCCAAAGTGGTTGCAAGAACAAACAGAAAGTAAAAAGATACCAGTCAAAAGAATGAAAAATGATCCAAGTAGCAAAAAGCACCCAGGCATTAAAGATATGTGTTCCAAAGACCAAAGTAACAAAAAGAGTTCTGGTGAAAGAACCATTTCTCATAAAAAAGTTGACAAAAACTTGGTCCCAGGCTTACAGCCTGTAGTTGCTTTACGAAACATAGAAAGTTTTGACAAAAGAAAATCATCAGAGAAAAGAAATGCATCTGCGAAGCGTGCATTAGAGATTTTTTACCAGAATGAGAAAAAGAATAAGAAAAATGATAAAGAATTTCTTGTGAAAATAACCAGTGCATCAGAACATAATTCTGATGATGAAGAAGAAAACCCCAAGAATGTTATTGAAGAGAACAATGGAAGTTCATCTCCAGAGTACTGCACTGATGATATACAATCAGCTGACAGTTATGGTGATCCACTTGATGAATTTAATGATAACAACGAATTGGAAGGCAAAAATGAAACTGCTCGGACACAAAATGAAATTTCAAAATCGGGAATGCTAAAATGTCCATATTGTAATTTGAAGGAATATTTTGGGCTGAATTCACTGAAAAGACATATTAAAGCTAAACATGCTGAATATGCTAAATTGTATGCTGAAGATGGAACAGAAGTACAAAATTCAGTTGGTAAAGATATGGAGAATGCATGCCAGGAAACTTTTAAAGAAGATATGATCGATGACGAATTAGAAGGTGATTCTGATGATGATTACAATCCAGAAGAAGACAATACTACTGACTCAGAGAAAGAAATACAAAAAGAAGTTGAACTGCTATCCTTTAAATGTGAATATTGTGCAGATGTTGAATATACCAAAAGAAAATCATTACATCAGCATATCAGGAGCAAACATCCGGAAGATTTCTATATTAAACACAAAGTTAAAAAGTCAAGTATAAAGAAAATCAATGATACAGACATTACAACTATGTTTAAATGTCCATTTTGTGCCTTTTCTTTGTACCACAGAGAGTATGTTTTTAGTCATATTGAAAGAGTGCATTCAGAAGTTTTACATTTTACTGTTGCTGATATTGTTAAGAAACAAGTAGAAGTCAATGAAAATCCGTCAGAAAGGGAATGCTTTAAATGTCTGTATTGTAAATTTGTGTGCAGATGGAAGTTAGACATAACAAGTCATTTTCGTGACAGCCATCCTACGCTCAAAAAGCCAAAGCAGATACCATGTATAATGCCAGCATCATGGCTGGATAACCAAACAATCTCTGCTAACCTAATGTGTGGAATTTGCAAATCTGTTTTTGAGGGCAAGAAAAACTTTGAAAATCACATGAAGGAGCATATTTCTAATGAAGGAATGAACATGATATTCCAAAGCACTTTGCCTGAACCGAAAAGATTTGGGAAACAACCATTTAAGAAAAGACTTCAGAGTTTTCTTTGTCCCTTATGCGACAGTGTTTTCAAGCGTAAAGATAGCTATATGTACCACCTGAAATCTCATATGGGAGGGACACAAAAGAAAGATGACATCACCGCAATTAAATGTATTGTGCTGAAAAAGAATCCGTCTATTCTGTCAGTTGATCACTGGGACAAAAGTAAAAGTAAATACATAGATGCTGACAAGTTTGTTAGTGATGAAAGCCTGAATGTTAACAATGAATTAAAAGAAGAGACTGATGACAATACAGATAAAGTTAATGTCGCTCCCAGTAAAAATGTGGAAAATAAGGATTCTGACCAAATGTCTAAAGAAGTTAAGAATATATCTGATTGCATTGAAGAATACAGAAGTTCACTAAATGAAATGGAAAGAGACTTAAAAATTGTTCACATAGACTCTGACTCTCCTAAAGATCATACAACATACTTGAACATAACCACTGGACAGTCAAAGCTAGAAGAAGGTTCATTTATTTGTCCAATATGTGATGATTTTAAGACTTTTTCAAAATCACTTGCTGTTAAACACGTCGAAGAGTCTCATTCAAGCAAGATGTATGAAATTGAAATATTACATATTGTGCCTCATGTTTACCTTGAGAAGTATAATCATGAAAAAGATGAATTCACATTTGGATGTGAATCTTGTAGCTTTTCAACAGATACTACAGTTCATGCTGTCAAGCATATAAAAAGTCATAGAAATAAGCAAGGGAAAGAAAAAGAAAGAACTGGAGCAGAAGAAGTTCTTGCAACAAAGACTACTGAATCCAAATATTTTGATATGGTTTCATTGCCAGGTTTAGAATTTGGCATGTATGAAGACGTTGTTCACAAATGCTGGTCATGTCATCCAAACTATTTGTTGAAGACGAAGAAAGGCTATAGAAAACATATGCTTTCATATCACAAAGATGAAATAGGCTGCGAAGTTGGAGATGTTATGAATCAGATGCTGGGCCTGATTGAAGGTTTGTAATTATTGTTGAAAATTAAAACCCTGCTGAATTTTGTTGAAGTATTTAACATATATGCTGTATGTCCAAAATAATGTACATCCATGCAGTCGTTATGCAGCCTCAAGGTCAAGGTCATTCTTGAAGGTATTATGTCTGACAATTTTGTGTTGCTTTATAAATCCTTTACGAGTTTAAAGACTCTTTAAACTTGATTCAAATGTTCACTTCACCAGGATATATGCAGAACCCAATCCGCCGGTCAAGGTCACCACTTCTTTTCAAACTGAAATGTTTTCTTTCAAAATGTTAATGAATTTCACTACATTTACATGTATATCCTGTGCCTTAGGTTTCAGGTGTGTGTATATGTCACTTCTGTGGAAGCTACAGTATATCATTGCTAATTGTAATCTTGGTTTAGTAAATGTCTAGAATATTGTGGTGGGATACCTTTGGTCTAAATCATAGTTATGATAATGAAAAGTTTACAAGTTAGGTTAAGGATATTAGTGCAACTTAATAATGCCTGTTTTTCTCTGCTCAAAGGTTACAGGAAGAGCAGTTTTAGTGATAAGGATTAAACGACCCTAAAAATGTATTTTTATTGCTATTTGCATTTGTAATCTGTTTTTAAATTAAATATACGCTGGTACAATTCAGCCTAATGATGAAGCTGCAGGTCCTAGTTATAGACTTGTCATATCAACATATCATATAAAAGAGTTTTATCATGTTGTCTGATTTGGCAAATATGTATGTTTTTAATCCTTATGAAATCATGATATTAAAAGTTTTATTTGAATCAAATTAGTTTATAGTTTTTAGTTGTTACTCTTCAATTTTAAAATAATATGTACATTTTACAAAAATATGTACATTGTACTTCTCTTCTTTAGGTAAAAAAGGAGATAATTATAGATGCACCATATGCAGTGAAATACTGAAAACTAGAGACGATTTAATAGATCACTATAAGGAAAGATATCCAGATAAAGTTGATGATTTGATGGCTCAGCTAAACAGCAGGAAAAATATTGCAAATACGCCGGATAGTGCAGGTAGGTCATAACCTAAATTCTAAAGAAAAGATCCCCAACCTCTCCCAAATTATCTTCCGTGAAAGCATAGGAAACAAAAGTAAATGGGTGAAAATTTCAGACTGGGTCTATATATGAGAGATAAAAAAAGGTGCAACATCTTCCTAGCCTCCTATTGATGGTTTAAGCAGTATTTAGTCAATGATGCTTAAGATAAAATAAAAACTGTTGCAACACTGAGATGAAGTATAAAGAGGCAACTTTTATCTGCTATCTCTAGCTTTTTTATTTCAAGCTAAACTTGAATTGATTTTTTCCGCAACTTTTAAGTGTTTTTCTTTATTTTTAGCTCACCTGTCACAAAGTGACAGGGTGAGCTTTTGTGATCGCTTTTCGTCCGGCGTCCGTCCGGCGTCCATCCGTCATCCGTCCGTCCGCAAACTTTTGCTTTAAATGACAACTCCACATAAACCACTAAGCCAATTTCATCCAAACTTCACAGGAATGTTCCTTTGGTGGTCACCTTTAAAAATTGTTCAAAGAATTTAATTCCATGCAGAACTCTGGTTGCCATGGCAACCGAAAGAAAAATCTTTAAATATCTTCTTTTAAACAACCCTAAGAGCTAGAGCTTAGATATTTGGCATGAAACATCTTCTAGTGAGTGTCTACCAAGTTTGTTCAAATAAAAGCCCTGGGGTCAAAATTGGCCCCGCCCCAGGGGGTCATTGATTTTCCCTATATGCATATAGTAAAAACTTAAAAAATCTTCTTTTAAAGAACCCAAAGAGCTAGAGCTAAGATATACAGCATGAAACATCTTCTAATGAGTGTCTACCAAGTTTGTTCAAATAAAAGCCCCGGGGTCAAAATTGACCCTGCCCCAGGGGGTCATTGATTTTCCCTATATCCATAGTTTGTTCAAATAAAAGCCCTGGGGTCAAAACTGGCCCAGCCCCAGGGGTGTCATTGTTTTTAACTATATGTTTATAGTAAAAACTTAAAAAATCTTCTTTTAAAAAACCCAATGAGCTAGAACTTAGATGTTTAGCATGAAACATCTTCTAATGGGTGTCAACCAAGTTTGTTCAAAGAAAAGCCCTTGGGTTAAAATTGGCCCTGACGGGGGGTTTGGGCTGGGGAGGGCCTATATACAGGTGAGCGACCTCAGGGCCATCATGGCCCTCTTGTTTTTATTTTTTGAAGGAGTTTGTTCAAACTTTAAAAATATGTTTCTTAACAAAAGCATCATCATATATATGATAAGATTCATAAATGTGGCATCAATATTTTTAGAATAATCTCCCTTCTGAACATAGAATTTTCCTGATTTCTTAATCACTCCCTTTGGTAAAACAATTATATAAGATGGATAATTTTCTTTTTTGATAGGATACACTGAATGTGAAATATGTTACCAAGGTTACAGAGATGATTCAGCATTAAGGAGACATTTACTGCTGCATTTAAACAAGGGCCGTATACACTGTGCAACATGTGGCATATATTTCAGGACGAGGGAGGAGGTGGCCAACCATTCTGTCTCTGCCCATTCGATTTCTAATTATATGTGTAGTACATGTGGAAAATTGTAAGTTCCAATTTAATTGTCATTTTTTAGTCAGTATTTTTATTATTTAAGCATAAAGAAAAACAGAACGTTAACCTAAAACCGAAATAAAAGTATCCATATTATGTTATCATAAGAAATGTATTGAAGAATTAAAGTGTAATTTCAAATATGTGTAATCTTGTGTTAGAAAACTGGTTACACAGATATAAAGTGTTGATGATGCATGGGAATTAGATATAATCTAATATGATTAATAAATTGAGATATAATAGTTTGGATAGACCACTCTCATTGTTTAAGAAATACTAGGTCAGATTGCTTTTCTAGAACCAGTATAATTCCGTAACATCTTATACATCATTAAGATTTGCTTATCTTGATTGTAAACTAACTTGATTATGAGGTTTACACAAACAATGAAATTTCATGCATTTTATAATGTTAATAATTAAGTGTTTTCATAATTCAGCCTTGTTATTGGGCTGGAGACTCATATTAGCCTGAGGCCGGTCAAATTAGCCTAAGGTCCCAGGCCGAAAGCTAATATGACGGTCTAAAGCCCAATAACAAGGCCATTATGAAAACTCTTAATTTTTGACAATTTTATTAATTTACTACACATAAACTAGAAAAGTTAATTACTCAGTGAACAAAAAATAACTAATGTAAAATTACATTGTTGTGAGGTATTGCAAATGAGATTCATGTTTTAAAAATGTTTTGTAGCAATTCAAAATGGCGACTTTTTTTCAATGAAAAAAAGCAGATTCAAAATGGCCGAGCTGGGGAGCCAATTAAAATTCTCAAATCTTTTAATAGCTGAATTTTTTCATAAGGCCCTACTGTTTCATAATGGCCTTGTTTAATGTTCATAATGCCATAATGAACTTCATATTTGCCTTACTTTTGAAGTAAAAACGTGCCTAATATTGAAAAGTTAATTAATAATAGATGTTAATCAATTGACTTGAGTTTTAATACCCAGAAAGATAACTGCATTCTATATTATGATAATATGTTGATTTTCTTCTTTGTAGTTTTAAACCTTGAATCATTTTTATAACTTCAGGCTTTACTCCAGTAAAGATTTCTCCCGGCATATGCGTCAACATAAAACAATTGAGATTACACAAGGAAAAAATACAACTATCCTGTGTCAGCATTGTGGAATAGAACTCAGAAAATTTACCAGTAACTTAAAACGCCATCAGCTTCGTTACCATGCCAACCTTATCACATGTGATTGTGCCATTTGTAAGAAACAGTCAGTCCCAGTAGGAGCTACCTCTTGTGTATGTACTGTTTGTAAAAAGGTTTTCTGTACAAATTACATGTTAGCTGTCCATCAAGTAAACGAGCACCCCCAACAACATGCACGCAAGAAGAAAGTGCATAGCGTCACAGCAGAATTTAAATGTGTAGGCTGCGCCTTGATATTTGACAGTCAAAAAGAGCTTCAGTTACACAGTCATAGATGTGGTAAAGGAGTTGAAAAAGTAATGTGTCAGAGTACACAGCTAGATGAAGAACAGGAAAGAATATCAGAATGTGAAAAGAAGCTTAATTTCAAAATTGAACTGAACGCCGAGTATATAAAAGAAAACTTCCTTGTTCATAACGTTGGTGCTGAGCTTCCATACAAGTGTGGCATATGTGATAAGTCGTTTAGGATACTTAAATACATGTATAACCACATCAGAAGAAAGCATGCAAGTGACGAAACTAGAAGATTTCGTTGTAAAGTGTGCAAAATGGGGTTTGTCTCATCCAGTTCATTGAAGCAGCATTGTAAAAGTCACATTGGTCTCCGACTTCATCGATGTACGTATTGTAAAAAGTCTTTCAAATCATCTACTCATTTGAGAGAACATATGCAAATACATACAGACGCAGAGGAGCCAAAATATACATGCGGTTACTGTGGTAACAAATTTGTACAAAATGGAGCATTGCTGGCCCATGTTGTTCATCATGATAAAACTCGGCCTTATGAATGTCCGTATTGTCAGAAAAGTTTCACATCTACTGGAGACCTGAAACGGCATATGGATAGGTATGATAAAATACTTGTAAAGAAAGACTTAAAATGCAGTTTTTGTCAGAAGACGTTTAAGAACAGTCATTACCTTCTGAAACATTTCCAGACTCACACCCTACAAAATCCATTTAGTTGCTCCGTTTGCCAGATGAAATTTTCTTCATTCCGTCAGATGTATCTGCACAAAGATAAAAACAAGCATTTCACCGATGCAGAATGTAAGCAAGCGCGTGAAGATTTGCAAACTCCCGGAAGAATGTTTAGACAAAGAGCTAACCGGAAGTTAAAAGCGAAAAAAGTTGCATCTACTGGCACAGAAACTGCAAATACTACATCTTTGATAGACAAAGTGCCTGTAACTTTTGACAAAGAATCAGCAAAATTTGTATTTGATTCTGATAGCTGTGTTGAAATTATTCAAATACCAAATGATAGTAGTGGTGAACAAGGTGAAGCAACAGTTTCGGCACTGGCACAATTTCAAGAGAATGTAATAAATAGCATGATGGATGTCGTTGAAAACAAGCCAGAAGAGGTAAAGATAGAACAGGAAATTTACAATTATGATGACGGGGAGCAGGTGCAGTATGTGGTAGAGATAAGTGATTCTCAAACACAGACTTTTGACCCAGCGATAGCTTCTAAAAGTTCGCCAGGTCTTGTTACATTAGGTACGGATGCTGTAGTAGTTGCCAATGACTCGACTGTTGTTGACGGTGAGGCTGGAACAAATATTGGTGAACTTGTCTCACTTGTGAGTCAATCTGTACCGAATGAAGGTTCTGGTAGGACACAAACGTTTCAAACACCTGATGGTTCACTTATTCATGTTTGTGTTGTAAAATCAACCAAATAGTCGAAACTCATTCTGGAAATTAGATTTATTCAGGCTTTTGGTAAAATGTACATTGTATGTCGTTGCCTATAAGTGACATTATGCCCATCCAAGTGTATATTGGCCAGTGAATAGGTGAAAATATATACATGATTTGTATAAAAATCTAAACATTTGCCATTATTGTGTTCAATTTTATATTTTGCAAAACAAAATCCAAATGAACAAAGGAAATTATAAAATGTAGTTGGGTGGTCTTTTTATAATTTAGATACTTCTAATTTAATAATGGGTCAATCACCATGAGAACAGGCTAGCCAATCTTTTAAATTAATATTCCTTGTTCAGCTCAACATGACCTCGAAAAAAATGAGCATGTCACTTTAATTTTGTGGTGAAAAGATGCAAAGAATTTGTATTTCTTAATTAACTTCTGTAAATATGTTTAACGATTTAAACAATGTTACACATTGAATCTTAAATTGTGCATGCATTTAAATTTGTCTTTTACTAAATTTGTGTAAGTTGTTTATGATATTGTAGAGAGTTATGTGTTTATTACGAATAAGTACACATTTTGCTGTCAATTTATTGTATGAATAAATGGAAATATGTTAATCTTCACGTCGTTGTATGTATATCACATTTATGACAGATGAGTTTTCCAATTTTTAATATTGTAAAACTTCTCTTAGTGACCGAGTCTTTCACCTGTATTATGAGTTTATGACTGTCTTGGTTTGATTCTGGAACATTTTATTTCAAGTTAAGGGAATGTCAGTATCAAAATATTGTCAAATTACAACAGAGTATAGACAGTTTACAATGTATTACTTTAGTTTTTGTTTGTTTGGTCTGTCAGCGCATCGGCACTGTACATGTCTTGTGGCGGAAACGAGAAAGCTGATTTTGGCTTGTTTGTTTGTTTGTTTCATTTTACGCCTTTTTCCAACAGTATTTCAGTCATATAGGCGGGTAGTTTCCTAACCATCGTTCCATGATTTTGGCTAACCTCGAATGCTACAAACTTCAAAGCAACACCATATATCAAAACCACCTCACCTGCAGAGCTAAAAGATGCATAGACTTCAGTTATTCGAACCCATTTAGTCGCATCTAACGGTTACACAGGGATAAAATGTAACTCCGTTTCTTATGCCTAACCCATAAAAGACAACCCCTCAACCACATAGGGCATATTACTTTAGAAAGCCTTGCATTATTTTAAGGAGATACCGGGTTGGTGATAAGAAGTTGTCTCTAGCTATATAAATTGCACTTTTGTTCACTTTAGATCGCATTAGAGAATGCTGTATAATTTTGATCTATATCTATTTAAAAGTTACATAGAGTTTGGCCATTGAAGAGGTCAATAATGATGCCGTGAATCAAATACACGCCCTCTGATTAACCAAAACAAAGTGACTATAACGCACGCCTTTCTTATTTTCATTTTTCCCTTGTACTGGTATCTTTCATATTCTCGCTTGCATAAGGAAGTGTGGACTTGGTGACTTGAAAATAATTTATACATACATGAGCACAATTTGCAGAAATGTATTTACTATATAATGGTTTAATTTGTATTGACCTTTTCAGTGCCACACTACAACGTTAATTACTGTATAAACGCTTAAGTGAATCATCAGAATTTTGGATTTGCGTAAAGTACAAGTTGTTATCGTTTCTTTTGTCTCGTTACGTGACAGTTTATCAGTGTATGTCGCGTTCATCTCATCTGTAGACGTATTTACGAAAGTATTCGAGACTGTATGAACTTTAAGTAAGATAATTTTGGCTTTGGCATGAATGACGTTCCAGTAAAAATAATCTTCCAAGTGTCCAGAGGCAAAAACGCATTTACAAAAAGGCACAAATCTGTTCGCTCACAGATGTAAACAAAGTTCTGATACAACCCAAGTTCAATTAAATGTAAACCATCGTGTAGTCCATATATTTCCGCTGATTTTAATACCAATTAAGTATGCCAGTATTTTGGATTATTAATTGTATGTAAATTTTTTTCTATAATTAAGTGCACACTTTCTTTTTCAACTCCGTAAACGTATCAAACATAAACGTTATCACAGGGCCAAGGTTCTGTGATCTGCTACTACACCTAGCCATGGTGTACCTTTTATTATATATAGGTCCACGAATTATATAAAGTAAGTCAATTTCCGCATTTAGTATTCATAACATTTTTAGTCAATTTTCACTATACCTGTACAGTAACATCTTTGGTATTAGTTATTAGAGGGATACTATCTAATGGTGTCATAATTTTGTTTTTATAAATATTAGATGATGAAACTTATTTATTTATAATCTATGGGGTTTTAGAAGGGACTTGGGGTAGAGGGTATACTCTAAGTGGATGTACGAGGGGTGTTCAGGAAGTTTAAGGACTTTTGCTGTAGTTTGATAAATAATAGGAATTGAAAAACAAGAAAAACACCATTAAATATTTAATTCTTTTATAGCCAGCTGTAAAAATTACAATGAAATACATTAAACAATAAGTAAATTACAAATAAAACAAAACATACACCGGAGCACGCTGTCACGTCAGTGCTAAATATGTTAACATCAAATTTCCCCCATCGTCATATCGACTCACTTCTCGACGTAATCTCCATTCACAGCGATACATTTTCTATGCCTCTTGACCCATTAGTCGTACGTGTCCTCGTACCAGATGTTGTCGAATGACGAAACTATTCTCTGGGTTTCAATGTGTAATTCCAACCCGGAATCAAAGAGTCGACCACGCAGCTGTGCTTTGATTTCCGGAAAAACTCGGAAATCCATCGGCGCGAGGTCCGGGCATCCTCTATTGACTCTCTTCCGTTTCGGAACATGTCATGCCGTCTAAATACTAGCGATCTACAGCATTTCTTTGTTGTACTAGATGCTTGAATCATTTTATACGTCTCCGTTGGTGTCTTTTCTATTCCTATACAAAACTTGATGATTGCCCTGACTTCAACGTCGCCTATTGACGTCATTTTTCTCTTGATTTGTGTAAGCACCAGTGATGTTAAAGCCGTTGTTATTCAAACAATTGTAACGATTTAAGAGTAGAATTTTCAGGAAATGACGTTGACGTTGTATTTAACGCTCTTGCTTTTTCGTGACGTTGTCCATTGAAATTTAAGAAAATTATTATCAATTAAATATATCGGTACCATTATCTTAAATACGATAAAATCGGAGTGCTCCGGGTATGCGTTATGCGGTTCCTATAGAAACAAATTTCGAGCGGTATTTGTCTATTCTTGTTAGTAAGCGTTATACTACATATTGAGCACATATTTAAATTACATTTTGTGAAATATGGATAAAAACGCACCATTGAGGAAAAAAATACAGCAAAAGTCCTTAAACTTCCCGAACACCCCTCATAGTATTAGATCACAGCATCTTGCTCATGTGGGAATGATCAATGTTCTGTTTATCAGTAGTATGCCGAGCCGCAGATTCCTTCACGTAAAAAAATATCCAACTAGCTTACGGAACATCGGCGGTTCTATTCAGATGCACGTCGGTGGTTCTAATCAGATGCACGTTGGTGGTTCCAATCAGGTGCAAGATGTGTCTGAAATAACTCACAATGAGACACCTATAAGATCTTCATCCACCACTTCCAGGATAGTAGTAAAGTCGTTGTATGACCTATACTGTGTGACATTAAACCCAATCAAAAAGAAAATTAACTTCTTCACTATTCTTTTTTTAATTTATTTATTTACATGTATTTATATGAAACAAATGTTTTAAAGATCGTATTTTAAGGATGTCATTTAAACATATATAAATATAGTTATATATATTTATAAAAAAAACATATGTAAGCGTGTTCTGCAATTTCATTGGAACAGAGTAGAACATATTTGGACATCATGATTATTAACGTTACATCGGACTTTTTTATATGCATTGGCAAAAATAGAAATAATGCATTTAAAAGTGAACGGTGGTGGACTGATTACTAAGGTCATCGATCAACGCGAATCACGATCGTGTTTCTTCATATAACACCGGTGTTGTTTGGACGCGACAGTAATTCTAACAAGAAGTATCTTTTTAAAAGATACTCGGTCGAAGTATAACTGTTAAACATGCAAAAGTATATGTTATTCTAAAGTTTTCAATACTAAAAGAAATGTTAGCAATGCTTGCATAACAATGACGTGATAATTATTTCTTGTAGCTATTAAGAAAATACCCATTTTATAGCATATTGATATTGATGATATAAGCTGTAACAAGAATTTGTAACAGAGTTACCAACGTCCCCCGCCCCGGGAGTTTTATATGAAGCATAAAATTGTGCTATTTCAAAAGATTGAGGTATGGACCTCAGGACATTCAGTCCAAAATTATGATCAATGCTAGATCTGCAAATGTAACAATAAATTTGTTAAAAAAATAAAATGAAACACGGAATTTAAAAATCTATCATGTTAAGCTTTGACCTCTAAGTGTGAACTTGACCTTGGAGGTAGGGGAGCAGGTGTTGTGCATGACATAACGTCTTATTATTGTGACTATTTGTGCCAAGTTATTTCAAAATCCCTTGAACTATGAAGAAGTTCTAGATTCAACACAAAATATACCCTATAACAGACTATGTTAATTTTTGACCTCTAAGTGTGACCTTGACCTTGGAGGTAGGGATGCAGGTGTTGCGCATGACACATCCTCTTATTATAGTGACTATTTGTGCGAAGTATTTTCACAATCCTTTGATCTATGAAAAAATTATAGACCTGACACAAAATATACCCTGTAACAGACTATGTAAGTATTTGACCTCCAAGTGTGACCTTGACCTTGGAGGTAGGTGACCGGTTTTTGCGCATGACACATCATCTGATTATTGTTAACAATTATGGCAAGTATTTACAAAAGTCCTTCATAGATAAGAAAGTTATGGACTAGACACGACATATATCCTCAAATAGACAATGTTGACCTTGAATGAACAAGTACGACCTTGACCCTGAAGGTACGGGTCTGGTTGTTGCGCATGACACATCGTCTTATTATAACAAACATTTGTGCCAAGTTATCTCAAATTCCTTTGATAAATGACAAAGTTATGGACCGGACACGAAATATACCCTGTAACAGACTATGTTAATATTTGACCTCCAAGTGTGACCTTGACGTTGAAGGTAGGCAACTGGTTTTTGCGCATGACACATCGTCTGATTATTATGAACAATTATGGCAAGTATTTACAAAAACCCTTCATAGATAAGAAAGTTATGGACCGGACACGAAATATACCCTGTAACAGAATATGTTAATATTTGACCTCCAAGTGTGACCTTGACCTTGAAGGTAGGTGACTGCTTTTTCCGCATGACACATCGTCTGATAATTGTGAACAATTATGGCAAGTATTTACAAAATCCCTTCATAGATAAGAAAGTTATGGACCGGACACGAAATATACCCTGTAACAGACTATGTTAATATTTGACCTACAAGTGTGACCTTGACCTTGAAGGTAGGTGACTGGTTTTGCGCATGACACATCGTCTGATTATTGTGAACAATTATGGCAAGTATTTACAAAATCCCTTCATAGATAAGAAAGTTATGGACCG